CAAGATGACTATATAAATGGGTTATATAAACTTTGAGGGGATAAAATTTAGGGAAAGTGAAACTTTTTAAAACCTGTGTATACGGTAAGTAAGTCACATTGTTTAGCTGCTTTTTGATTATATTCAGAGAAGATCAATCTAATGGGACTGAGAACACTCCCTTGTTTCTAAAGTATAGATTAGCGTTCCCATTGGTGACTTCTTATTGGTGCTGCCATTGAATAGTGGCCTTTTCTCTCTGGTCAATCTGTTTGTCTGCTTATCTCAAAATGATTCCAGACCAAGGCTCACTATTTCAATACTTTAAACACTTTTCCATTGGAATCCTATGTCACATTTCACATTTTTAAAATGTTTCTTTCTTCATAGTCCTTAAGCAGGGATCAGTGAAAAAACAACAACCCTACCCTAACTGGTTTGGTTTAGTGGATAGAGCGTTGGCCTGTGGACTCAAGGGTCCCAGGTTCGATTCTGGTCAAGGGCATGTACCTTGGTTGCAGGTCCATACCCAGTAGGGAGTGTGCAGGAGGCAGCTAATCAATGTTTCTTTCTCATCAATGTTTCTAACTCTCTATCCCTCTCCCTTCTTCTCTGTAAAAAATCATTTAAAAATTTTATATATTATATATATTACACACACACACACACACACACACACACACACACAACCCTTAATTACAGATAGGAAGGTTAAAAAATTAATCTGAGCCCTGATGGTGTGGCTCAGTTGACCTTTGAACAAAGCCAGAATTAGGAGTATTGACCCTCTGTGCAGTCAAAAATCTGCATATGACTATTGACTTCCCCAAAACTAAATGACTAATAATCTACTATTGACCAGAAGCCTTACCAATAACAAAATTTGTATGCTGTATGTATTATATACTGTATTTATACAATAAAGTAAGCTGGAGAAAAGAAAATGTTATTCAGAAAATCATAAGAGCCTGGCTGGCCTGGCTATGAACCAAGAGGTCAGGGTTCGGATCCTGGTCAGGGCACAAACCCGAGTTTCAGGCTTGATCCCCATTGGGGGCATGCAGGAGGCAGCCAGTCAATGTTTCTCTTTCATCATTGATGTTTCTATCTCTCCCTCTCCTAATATTCTTTTTGTGATTTATCCCTGTTGCTTATTTACTTCACTGACAGTCTGTTGTGTGACTAATCTACAATTTCTTTATCTCCTGTTAGATATTTAATTTTTTCCCAATCTTTCATTATTATAAGCAACGCTGCAGCTGACACATTTGGATCTATTTCTTTTGTCCTGTAAGGATACCTATGTGTTTTTTTAAATATATTTTATTGATTTTTTTATAGAGAGGAAGGGAGAGGAACAGAGAGTTAGAAACATCGATGGGAGAAAAACATCGATCAGCCCCAACCTACTGGGGATGTGCCCACAACTAAGGTACATGCCCTTGACCGGAATTGAACCTGGGACCCTTCAGTCCACAGGCCAACGCTCTATCCACTGAGCCAAACTGGTTAGGGCTGTTTTTTATTTTATTTTGGAGAGCAATGTATATAGACTAATTCCCTCCCTTCAGCTCATACTATATATATTTTTCTGTAGGCCTTCCAATTTACCTCTCTACATATACACAAACTTATGTATGTTTGTATAAGCATTGCATAATTATGAAATAATTCAAATTAGTCTGATGACATTTGTATATTGGCTGCATGAACTGAGGAGGTATGACTAGAAGATATTTTCTTTTTCTATCTTTTAATCATAAATAGTCCAAAGACGTTTTTTAAAAAAGTTTATGTAAATATCACCTTTTTAAAAATATTCATCTTATTTCCTAATTTTATTTTATTTTTTTAAAATATTTATTTATTGACTAGAAGCCTGGCAAACAAAATTTGTGCGTGGGTACAGTCCCTAAGCCTGGCCTGTGATCACGGCCAGCTGCCACCGCCACCTATCCCTGGTTCCCCGTTCTCCATTGGGTGATTGGTGCCTGATGGAGAGGGGAAGGGACGGAGAATTTTTGGAAAGTTTGTTATAGGTCTGTGGAAAATTAACAAACTAGAGATGACAAGTGCTGGCAAGGATATGGAGAAAAGGAAACCCTCATGCACTGCTGGTTGGAATGCAGACTGGCACAACCTCTGTGGAAAACAGAGGAGTTTCCTCAAAAAAATTAAAAATGAAACTCCCATTTGACCCAGTAATACCACTCCTAGGAATCTATCCCAAGAAACCATAAACACCAATCAGAAAGAACATATGCACCCCTATGTTCATAGCAGCGCAATTTACAAAATTGCCTAAGTGTCCATCAGCAGATGAGTGAATGAAAAACTGTTGTACATGGACACAATGGAAATCTGTGCTGCTGTAAAAAAGAAGGAATTCTTACCATTTGCAAAAGCATAGATGGACCTAGAGAGCATTATGCTAAGCGAAATAAGCCAGAGAATGATAAGTACAACATGATCTCACTCATTTGTGGAATATAATGAACAATATAAACTGATGGGGGAAAAAAAGACCCAGAGACATAGGAGCATGGAATAGACCCTCAAACCTCAGAGGGAAGGCAGGGGGAGGGTTGGTGGACAGGGTGTGTAGGGGGAGATCAACCAAAGAACTTATAGGCTTATAAGCATAACCAATGGACACAGACAATGGGGGTGATGGTAAAGGCCAGGGCTGGGGAGCGGGCAGGCTGGAGAGAGCAATGGTGGAAAAGGGGATATATGTAATACTTTCAACAATAAAGAATTTTTTAAATTATTTATTTGTTTTTCTAAAAAAATTTTATTGTTGAAAGTATTTCATAGGTCCTCCTTTCCCCCCATTAACCTCTTCCAGCCTGCTCCCATCCCTGTTCCCATAAAAGTTCATAAAAGTTCATTGATTTTTCTTTTTATTATTGCCTAATTTTATGGACAGAAATAATAGTATAGTCCTTGATAGAAGTGCTAATTTTAAGGGTTAATAATTAAATAATTAATTAAGAGAGGAAGGAAGAGGGATAGAGAGATAGAAACATAGAGAAATATAATGATAGCTGCCTCCTGCCTGCACCTTACAGGGGATTGAGCCTGCATCTGGGGCATGTGCCCTACCAGGAATTGAACCAAAGCCTCTTAGTTCCTAGGTTGATGCTCAATCGCTGAGCCACACGGGCTGAGTCTGATTAATTTTTTATAACAATTTTAAAATGTACAATTCAATGATTTTTAGTATATTGACAGAGTTTTGCAACCATAACTGTAGTCAGTTTTTTAAAAATATATTTTTTATTGATTTCAGAGAGGAAGGGGTGGAGAGAAAGAGAGAGAGAGAGAGAGAGAGAAAGAGAAAGAGAGAGAAATCAATGATGAGAGAGAATAATTGATCGGTTGCTTCATACACACCCCTCACTGGAGATTGAGCCTGCAACCTGGGCATGTGCTCTGACTGGGAATCAAACCGTGATGTCCTGATTCACAGGTTGATGCTCAACCACTGAACCACACTAGCTGGGCAGTACAATCAGTTTTAGAATATTTTTATTACCCCAAAAAGAAACTCCATACCCATTAGTAATCACTTCCCATTCCCTCCTCCTAGCCACTGCAACCATAAATCTACATCTGTGTTTGTGGATTTTCCTATTCTGGACATTTCACATAAATGGGTTATATAATATATGGCCCTTATGACCAGTATCTTTCACTTAGCATGATGTTTTCAAGGTTTGTTTATGTTGTAGTGTGTTTTCAATACTTTATTCCTTGTTATGACCAAACTAGACGCCTGGTGTACGAAATTCGTGTGTGTGTGTGTGTGTGTGTGTGTGTGTCCGTGTGTGTCCCTCAGCTCGGCCTGTGCCCTCTCGCATTCTAGGACCTCTTGGGTAGGGTCCTAGGATTGGCTGGCGATCAGGGCCCACCGGGGCTTTCCTTCCCCTTGCTGCCAGCAGCTGGCCCCGCCCCTGCAGCTGCTTCTGCTTGCCATCTGTGCAGCACTGCCCCTTCCCCGCCATTAGTCACCTGCCTTTGCGAGCGACAGGCATGGGGTGTGATCACTTGGCTGGCCCAACATACCCACCACAGCATCATTGGCTGGTGGCCTGGGCCTCCCTCCCTCTGTGGGGCGATCCATTATGGGGCGATGGCAGGACCCCCCGACTAATTGCATCATACCCATCTTGGCTGGCCTGGTGCCAGTGTATGTCATTGCATGGTCCTCTGGAAATTCATCCAGACGGTTGTTTGGTTGATTTGCATATTATACTTTATTATTATAGATAATCCATTGGTCCCTTTTGTACTTATCATTTTGGGGGCATTTCAGTTGTTTCCACTTTTTGATTATTACTAATAATGATGTTATGATATTTGTTAGTATAAATTTTTATGCAGATAAGAAGTGAATTTGCTCAGTGGATAGAGCGTTGGCCTGTGGACAGAAGGGTCAAGGGCATGTGCCTTGGTTGCAGGCACATCCCCAGTGGGGAGTGTGCAGGAGGCAGCTGATTGATGTTTCTCTCTCATCAATGTTTCTAACTCTCTCTCCCTCTCCCTTCCTCTCTGTAAAAAATCAATAAAATATATTTTTAAAAAAAGAAAGAAAAAAGAAGTGGAATTGCTGGATTATATGATAACTGTGTTTAACATTTTGAGGAACTACCAAACTGTTTTCCAATGTAGGTACACCATTCTACATTTTCACTAGCAATGAATGAGGGTTCCATTTTCTGCACATCCTAGTCAACAATTACTATTTTCCTTTTTAGCCATCCTATTTGGTGTGAGTGCTATCTCATTGTGATTTTGACTTGCATTTTTCTACTGACTAATGTTGACTTTTTGTATGTGTTTACTGGCCATTTATTTATATTATCTCTTTGAAAATGTATTTGAATGTTTATTTAACTCCTTTGTTTTAAGTTAGGTTATTTGTCTTTATATTGTTGAGTTGTAAGAATACCATATATTTTATTGTATTTTTTAAAGTTATTTGTTTGCAACACTGATTTTTTTCCTCTTATTGGAAGGTCCTATCCAAAATGCACTGCTGTCTGCACAAGGATATAATTCTCAGCTTCCAGGATCCTACTCTCATCTATTACCAGCAAAGACTTTGAATCCAGTCTCTGGACAGTCGAACTATGGTGGTTCTCAGACTGTTTCTTCATTGAGTAACTATCAAGGACCTGAGCAGACTCTTCATAGACCACCTATGGCTTCTAATCCAGTGACACCTTCACTCCATGGTGGTCCTGTTCCCAGAATGCCACAACATGCTTCTCAGAACCCAGCTGCTACACCAATGCCTTCTGGTAGCTTTCATCCTGGAGCCAGCGCACCACCACCTCTGAATTGGCAGTATAACTATCCATCCCCAGGATCACAGACAAACCATTATCCTCGAGTATCAACCGGACCAACTATGTCTGGGAATACAAATTTGACAAGTCATCAATATGTTTCTTCTGGAGATCCTTCACATCAAAACAACTTCATAAAATCAGGTAGAGTTCTTTAAAATTTAGAAATGGGAAACTTTTGCTTAATTAGACATTTGAATTAATGTTTCAAGTCTTAAAAAACATTGTAAGGCTATTGATTTTTTAAATCACTTTTAATGTTTAAATGAACTATTTCTCTAACCTTTAAGTTAACTTAAAATTGTGGATTGTTTCTGCTTTACATCTTATCCTCCCTGTTTCCTTGAGTCACTCATGATACTTCAGGGATTCTGGAATGCATGCAGAACCACTTCCTTAAGGACTGATCATTACTTTTTTTTTTTTTTTTTTTTTAATCATTACTTGTATTAAATTGGTTCTGTTCTGTTTTATATTTTAGGGAAGATTAATCCCTGTGGTTTCTCTTTGGTATTTTATTTTATTTTCTTACTAGAGGCCTGGTGCATGAAATTAATGCAGGCAGTGCCCCTCAGGCCGGCCTGCACCCTCTCCAATCTGGGACCCCTTGAATGATGTCCTACTGCCAGTTTATAGGGCTCAGACCTAAACCAGCAGTCGGACATCCCTCTTGCAATCTGGGACTGCTGGCTCCTAACTGCTCACCAGCCTGCCTGCCTGCCTGCCTGCCTGATTGCCCCAACCACTCTGCCTGCTGGTCTGCTTGCCCCAATGGCCCACCCCCATCAGCCTGATCACCCACAACTGCTGTCCCATCCTGGCCTGATCATCCACAACTGCTCTCCCCTCTTGGCCTTTAACTGCCTCTACCTCGCCCCGCCACTATGGCTTTGTCCAGAAGAATGTCCAGAAGGTCTCCTGGAAGTTCTCCCAGTCTAATTAGCATTTTACCCTTTTATTAGTGTGGCCAGCTTGGGTGAGGGGCTGAGGACTGTTTTCAAGCTGGCCACAGCCCCTTCAGGTTGGGGGTCCTGCTGGGTGTGCTTGGCCGGCGTGGGTGAGGGGCTGATGGCTATTGACAGGCTGGCCAAGTCCCAGAGTGGGGACCTCACCCCATGGAGGTGTGGCTAGCCTGGGTGAGGAGCTGAGGGCTGTTCTCAGGCTGGCCATGCCCTCCCACACACAACCCCTCGTGACCCAAGCTCCCAGCCCCTCCTTTTTTTTTTTTTTTTTTTTTTTTTTTTTTCAACACCTCCTTGATTGGAGGCCAGGGCCTGCTGGAAGCAGGTATCAGGGATTTATTTATGTTCTATAATTGAAACATTGTATCCTTGAATGGAGACCAGGGCCAGCTCAAAGCCTGGGTTGCACTTGGCAACCTAGGCTCCTAGCACCTCCTTGAGGGGAAGCCAGGGCTGGCTGGAAGCAAGTATCTGGGATTTATTAATCTTCTATAATTGAAACTTTGTAGTATTAAATGGAAGCCAGGGCCAGCCAGGGCAGGCTAGAAATTTGGCTTCCTCCATCGCCTCCTACTCCAGCTACATGGCTGTGGCTATCTTTGTTGGGTAAATTTGCATACTTGCTCCGGATTGGCTAGTGAGTGTAGTGGAGTGATGGTTAATTTGCATGTTTCTCTTTCATTAGTGTAGATATTTTCATTGATTTCAGAGAGGAAAGGAGAGGGAGAGTGAAGGGTAGAAATAACAGCAATGAGAGAGAATCATTGATTGGCTGCCTCCTGTAAGCCCACACTGGGAATCAAGCTTACAACTCAGGCATGTGCCCTAACCAGGAATTGAACTATGACCTCCTGGTTTATAGGTCAGTGCACAACCATTGAGCTACACTGTCTGGCTCTTTTTGGTCTTGGTTTGGGGCTTTGGTTATGTTTTTGTTATGGCATAGACAGTTTTTGGCCCCAGAAACTGAAGGATCTGTCAAAACATATACTTTTGGAGTGAGGAGTGTTATTGAGCATAACTGCAGTCAGAAAGCTATGGACATAACTACAGTCAGAAAGCTGTAGACATTGACCCTAGTGAATGCATTTTGGCCTTGGAAAGAGTAGGGCTATTTCTAGAAACTTAATTTCTTTGTCAGAATCTTTTGACCCACAATTGTTAGAACCAAAATTCTCCTGGTTACTTTTATTTTTTAATTTTTTTGAAAAATTATTTATTGATTCTAAATAGACAGGAAACACATATATGCATTCATTGGTTGACTCTTGTATGTGTCCTAACTGGGGATTGAACCGCAACCTTGGCCTATTGCTCTAACCAACTGAGTCACTCAGCCAAGGATTTTCTGGTTACTTTTTTTCCTCCTGGTTACTTTTATTCTTATTCTTATTGACACCGTGAGTGAACATCAGTCAGTTGAAATTAATGAATATCCACTTCATAATTGTTATACATAACAATTATTTAGTATTTCTTATTTTCCAGCACTTTGCCAGACTTTTATATGTGTTATCTTTCATAACAGTCTCTTTTACAAGAAAGAAATCTGAGGCTTGAATCATTTGCCCAAAACCACTAGAAAATAATTTGGGAAAAGGTCCTATATAAAAAGTGTTTAAGAATAGGTGTAGCCTCTTTTTTAAAAACATATGATCAATAATCTGAAATATGCCGAAGCTGGTTTCGCTCAGTGGATAGAGCATCAGCCAGCAGACTGAGGGGTCCCAGGTTTGATTCTGGTCAAAGGCATGTACCTTGGTTGTGGGCATATCCCCAGTAGGGGGTGTGCAGGAGGCAGCTGATTGATGATTCTCTCTCATCGATGTTTCTAACTCTCTGTCCCTCTCTCTTCCTCTCTGTAAAAAATAAATAAAATATATTTTAAAAAATAATAATCAAATATTTTTGGCGCTAACAGAAAACTTTAGGTAGAGCACCTTGACTGCAGCACAAATGTGGTGAAAGAGGCATAAGCAAGTGTCATTACTTATGAAGGTTTCTACATAAAAGTAGGAGAAAGATAAACTAATAAAATGAAACCTAAAATAAATGTCTGACTACCCTTCTTTTTTCTTATGAGAAATAAAATTCTTCATATTTGATCTCTGGTTTTTTTTTTTTTTCCAACCCATCATTAATAATAGGTGCCTGGTTATTTAATTTCAAAACTCTATGTAAATCATATTCAGTTTCTAGTCCACACATTAAAATTCTTTTTCCCTCCTAATTGTCCATCTGTAGCATCCTTGCATTGGTTTTAGGGATCTTAGGAGACAGGTTCTAAAACTCTAGGTATTGCTGTTATAAATAAGAATTATACAGCTTGAAAAAATAATGACTATCCTATAAAATATAGCATATATTTTATTCAAAAATATTATTTTTAAAGCTGTGAAAAATTTCTATAAGTTCACTTGAATGCTGTTAAACATTAGGTTGTTACATTTTTGTGAACAGATGTGTCATATGTTCTTGTTCATGCTGAGTTGGTACTGTACCTTGCCCTTTTGTTCCTTTGACTTGTCTGTATTGCCAAAGATATGACAGATATGTGTGGGTGCTTCTTTGATAAGGGTGTTACATGGTAGTAATCTTTGTCTTCACTTTTGTCAACAGGGCACTGATTAGTCTTATTGGGAGCCATAAAGTTTAGTAATACAATAATCTTTCAATTTGGCCCTAGAAAATTGAACACTGTTGAAGAAAACATATTGAAAATTTTTGTTATTTGCCTATCTTTCTTTATTCCTTTAGTTGTACAAAATTACAGGGTCATCTGTAGAATATATTATAAAGTAAAATTTATTACCTATTTCACTTATAAATTCAGAGGCTAGAAAAAAGCCTTGGGCTGGAAAATTAAATCACATACTTATCAGTATTATTTTATCTACTTTGCAGACTTTGTTCTTCCTATTTGGCAAGTGAGAAGGTGGAAGTAATACTGTTGACTTGAGTGAACAGGAGGTTGTGGGATTTGGAATTTTTGATATCACATAGAAGAATTTCCTCAAGAGTAACTGATAATATTTTTTACACTAGCCAGAACTTAATTGTCCTAATGGAAAATTGGTGTAGTTGAAGCAGTAAGAATACTGGTAGATACAAGGACAAATATCATATAATTCTTAGTTTAGTTTGATGAGTATTTTTGCACCTCTTGGATAGTGACCTATAAGGCATATGCATAGACTTTGGATCATTTCATTTCCTGTTTTTTTAAGCTTAGGGAGTGTTTTTTGTTTTTGTTTTTTTTTTTTAATATATTTTATTGATTTTTTCAGAGAGGAGGAGAGAGGGATAGAGAGCTAGAAACGTCGATGAGAGAGAAACATCAACTAGCTGCCTCTTGCACACCCCCTACCGGGGATGTGCCCACAACCAATGTACATGCCCTTGACCGGAACCGAACCTGGGACCTTTCAGTCCGCAGACTGATGCTCTACCACTGAGCCAACCCGGTTTCGGCTAGGGAGTGTTTTTAATACAGTATTTAAACCATTGTTGAAAGTAAACTACTTTTTAAAAAATGTGTTTTTATTGATTTCAGAGAAGGAGAGAGACATAGAAACATCAATGATGGGAGAGAATCATTGATTAGTTGACTCCTGAACACCCCCCTCTGGGAATCCAGCCTGAAACCCAGGCATATGCCCTGATGGGGAATCAAACCATGACCTCCTGGTTCATAGGTCAATGCTCAACCACTGTGCTATGCCAGCTGGACGAAAGTAAACTACTTTTATTATTACTAGGTTATTGAACAGAGTATAAAGTTACAATCTCATTTTTAATAGGTTATACACTGCCAATAAAAATGAAGCAGAATGAAATAAAACTTAGAGAATTTGGAGTATCACAATATAACAAATTACAAAGTAATTATAAAGCCAACTCTAAACCTAATCAGTGTTAATTGAATGGACTATATTAATAGGCCATTAATAAAATTTTATCATGTTGATTTCTACTGGAATATTTGACATGGCCTGTTGAAATTCTGTGACCAGTCAATGAAAAATTAATCAATAAAGAGGGCATTGTATCTGTCTTATAAGTTATTTGATGTTGAATTTATACTTATACTGCTTTAATAATTTATAGATAAGTACTATAGGAGAGACATGGCAAAATGTAAAGTATGCATATAAATTAAGTAATAAACCTGGGAAGTAACATATTTCTGGTAATTTGTTGGTGGTTGCAATTAAAATTTCAAAGTTACTCAGATTTAGTGAAAGTCTATTTGGCCTTTGTCTTAAATTCTTAAGTAATGTGAAAAACCAATGTTTTCATAGGTTCTGCACCCCCTCTGAATCCACCTCTGCCTACCACTTTCCAACCAGGAGTCCCTGTTGGGCCTCCCCCAACTGGAGGACCACCTCCAATGAGTGCCCTAAGTCCTCAGAAATCATCACATATGGATGTGCACCGGCCATCATTTAATTCACCTACCAACCAAGATGGTAAGCATGGCAAAACCAAGTCAAGTTTGACTTAGGGTAGAATAATGAATATTTCTGAAATCTGTGTGTCCATATCATATTTTTTCCAGAAAATCTAGTTGTTTTGATTAGGGTTGGCCTTCAGATATTTAGAGTTTAAAGAGGTTCCTCAGAATTCACATAGTCCTATGTATGCTGAGCTATGAACTAGCATTCAGGAATCACTGCTGTTAGTTTTTAAAAATATATATATTTTATTGATTTTTTTATAGAGAGGAAGGGAGAGGGAGAGTTGGAAACATTGATGAGAGAGAAACATTAATCAACTGCCTCCTGCACACCTCGTACTGGGGATGTGCCCGCAACCAAGGTATGCAACCAAGGAACATGCCCATGACCAGAATAGAATCTGGGACCCTTGAGTTGGCAGGCCGACACTTTATTCACTGAGCCAAACTGGTCAGGACTGTTAACTTTTTTTATTGCTGTGGTTATCAACTTAGGTGTCTTTTGGGAGAGGGAGGTGAGAGGAGAGTTCCTGCTTTTCTGTTAGAACTATTTTCATATACTGCCTTTTTTTCCATGGAGGTGGTATTTTGATTATCACTGTTACTGTAAATAGCCTATTTAATGCTAATTGACCCTCAAGCCATTGCAAAGATGGTGATACCCACAGCAAATAAGGAGGGAATATGCTAATTGACTGTCACGCCCTTAAAGATGGTGGTGCCTAGTTCCCTCAGTCACATACCTGCCTCCGGAGTCCCCCCAGTCCCCTCAGCCCTCCAGCTGCCCAGGGCCAGCTCGAGGCACAGGCAAGCCTCGGATGTCGGCTGCCTAACTGCCCAGGGCCAGCCCAAAGCTCAGATAACCAGGGCTGGTCAAGGCTTGTGCTGCCGGCAGTGGCAGCAGCAGAGGTGTAATGGGGCATTGCCTTCCCTTGATTGCTGAGTTATCTCCCACCCCTGAGGGCTCCCGGACTGTGAGAGGGGGTAGGCCAGGCTGAGGGACCCCCCCTCCAGTGCATGAATTTCATGCACCCGGCCTCTAGTTAGCAAATATTTATGAATCTAAATACAAAGTTAAATATACAAGCATTTTGAAGTTTTATATACATAAAATGTTTTAAAGCATTGTCTTCAGATATAATTTTAAAATGTTTATTAATTTAAATAATATTTTGTAAAGTAAAAAAATTTGATTTTAGCAGAATTTTAACCATTGCTGCAAGATGTGGAAATAGGAAAACAGTATAGGAAGGGGGAAAACCATTACCTAAATCCTACTACTAAATACACTAAATATAATTTTTCTTATAGCAGTTCCTTTTATTTTGTTTAGAATTATAAGTGTGTGAGGGGAGATTTGTGAGTAGTTTGAAAAGAATGGTATTAACAATGAATAACAAAATGATAAAGCAATGTCCTACAGGTTACCACATTATTTACAATTTTAATCAATTAAAAATATACACACTATTTTTGTTTCTACAAAGTGTTTGTTTTAATTCTCGCCCATGGATATGTTTTTATTCATTTTTAGAAAGAAAGGAAAGGAGAAAGAGAGAAATATCTATATGAGAGAGAAATATCAATCAGTTGCTCTCTGCAGACAATTTTTTGTTGTTGTTAATCCTCACCAGAGAATATGTTTCCATTGATTTTTAGAGAGAGTAGAAGGGAAGGGGAGAGACAGAGAAAGAAACATTGATGTGAGAGAGACACATCAATTGGTTGCCTCCAGCATATTCCCAGGATGGAGCTAGAGATCAAACTTGGAACGGAAGTATGTGCCATTTAATTTATTTTTCTTTAAATATATTTTATTGATTTTTTACAGAGAAGAAGGGAGAGGATGGAGAGCTAGAAACATTGATGAGAGAGAAACATTGATCAGCTGCCTCCTGAACACCTCCTACTGGGGATGTCTCCACAACCAAGGTGCATGCCCCTGACCGGAATCGAACTCGGAACCTTTGAGTCCGCAGGCCAACGCTCTATCCACTGAGCCAAACCAGTTTCGGCATTCGTGCCTTTTTTTGAAATCGAACTTATTACCTTTCAGTTCATGGACTGATGCTTTAACCATTGAGCTAAACCAAATAGAGCTGCAAATAGTTTTAAAAAGTTTTCTGTATCAACTCATGGCTAAAATGGTGGTCTTGAGAACTGCATAAAAATTGTCAACTGTATTGTAACCTTTAAACTTATCTGTTTAGTGTCAAAATAAATATTAATGTTAGCATCTTTGTACTTAGGTGCTAGAGGTTGATGCTAGTTACTGATTTTAGTTTCTTCTGTCCCTGAAATAGCATACATACCTAGAAGTAAATTTTTACTCTTCAAAAGCCGATGCCTCTGGTATTTAACTTTAACTCTTCAAATTGGGGGGGAAACAAGATTTAAAATAAATTTTAGTGGTGATTCTCTAGACTGACGCAGTTGTTCTAATTAATTTATATTATCTTCAGATTCTAAATTTACCTTTTTCATATTTTGAAAAAAGTTATTTTTATTCTTAAAATTTTATTTTATTTTTAAATAATATTGATTTTGATGATTTTTCTTTCAGTGTGTATTGCTCTTAAGAGATTTCTAATACTACTCTTGTAAATGCTGAAATCTTTCAGATAGTATATAATTTTGTACACTCCACAAAGGAACATCCTTTTTAGAAGTTTATAAAATTATTTGCTACTTTGATATATTTTGTACATTTAAAAACTGGCATTGTTTAAAACTTTTATTTCAACATTTGATTTTTTTGGGGGGGCTGTGGTTTAAACTATATTTGTCATTTGAAAAGTTGTCTTAAATTAGCTCCAGTCTTACTGAAATTGTAACAATTGTTTTAATATAAATATTAATAAACTTTTCTTAGGTATAACATCAAGTACCAATAATGGATCTATGATGGTTCACAATAGTTATGATGAAATTGAAGGCGGTGGCTTCTTGGGTGAGATGCTATGAAAGTTTTCTTGTTGTTGTTGATTTTTAGGAAACAAAGAAGAAATCTTTATAATCATGTCCCACAGCAATGATTATTGATAGCATTTTTTCTCCATCCATATAGACTTCTTTTGTTAATTTTCCCCCCTCAGAGTTGGGATTGTGGGCTTTATTATTATGATGCTATGACATAGAGTACTTTTTACCAATTAGATCTATTTAAATTTATTTAACCAATTGAACATTTAGTATGTTTTCATTAAAGTTGTTTTAAATTAGAATTTTCATTTGAATACAAAGTTTCATACATATAAAAGTGAGTTAACTATACAAAACTTATTTTTGTGTTTATAGTTGTAGTCTACATTAAATAGACTTTTAAAAAATATTTTATTGATTTCAGAGAGGAAGGGAGAGGGAAAGAGAGATAGAAACATCAATGATGAGAGGGAATCATTGATTGGCTGCCTCCCACATGCCCTGTCCCCACACTGGGGACCGAGCTTGCAATGCAAGCATGTGCCCTTGGCTGGAGTCGAACCTGGGATCCTTCAGTCCATAGGCTGATGCTCTCTATCCACTGAGCTAAACCAGTTAGGGCTACATAAATAGGTTTTAATCATTGCTATTACTTTGTTGCTAATATTTGTCTTATTTTACAAAAGTGATAAATGAAAGTATTAACATATTGAAAGGATTTTCGAATTATAACTTCTATGATTCAATGGATCTATGTGTTGATTTAAAGTATTCTGGAGTGTAAAATAGAACTTAAAAGTTACCTTGTTTCTAGCAACACCACAGCTTACTAATAAGAATCCTACAGTGAGCCGAAGTGTTGGATATTCATATCCCTCTTTACCACCTGGTTATCAGAATACCCAACCACCTACAACCGGAATGCCACCCTCTTCCTTGAGCTACCCAAGTGGGCCTCAGGCCTTTAACCAGGTAAACTTTTTGTTTCTTATTTTAAAAAAATTTTTCTACCTTTTTTTTTAAACTGTAAATACATGGAAAAGTTTCAGGACATGTATAATGAACATTTTTAACCCATTAGAATAACAATGGATATTTCATAAAACCTTTGTCTTATTACATATCTCCAGAACCAAAATATTGATCGAAAGTCTAGATTACGGTTTTACTTAAAGAGAAATTATATAACTAAGTTCTTATACACTTCTGTTTTCAACTGAAGACATAAAGATTACTTACTTTCAAATTATACATTTTTAGAATTCCTTAGGTGCTAATCATTTAACTGCAAGCATGAGTGGATTAAGTCTACATCCAGATGGGCTGAGAGTTATTAACCTTCTTCATGAGAGAAACATGCTTCCATCAACACCTTTGCAGCCTCCGGTTCCAAATTTGCATGAAGATATCCAGAGACTCAACTGTAACCCAGAGTAAGGTTCAGTGTTTCTTATATTTTACTCATTCTAAACATTTTCCAGATTTCTTTGGAGTCATATATATATTATAAACAAGTTGTGCAGCTATATTAATTTATGAAAGTAGTTCTGTGGATAGAAAACAACTCTTTTAGTTGCTTACTTAATTGATATTTGAAATGTTCTAAGTTTAGAAATAGGGTGGTTATTTCTGAGATGATTGCTGCCTCTATCAGCTATAATGGTAGTGCGATATTCATTATCATTAAGGCAGCTACATTATTTCTTCAGTCCAAAGTATGGAGATTTAATTCTATATAATCCTTTATTTGCTCTCATTTCAAATTCTTTTTTATAAAAACAAAACAAAACATAATTATAACATTCTTTCCTTAAAATTAAGCATATAGGCTTAAATATATAAAGTGAAGATGTTGTGATAAATTGAATTTTGTTATAAATAGTATTTTAGAAACTTCAGCAATTTTGGATCATCACTGGTTTGGCTCAGTAGATAGAGCATGGTGTGCAGACCAAAGGGTCCTGGGTTCGATTCCAGTCAAGGGCAAGTACCTTGGTTGCAAGCTCCTCCCAGCCCAAGCCCTGGTCAAGGCATGTGGAGGACACAACTGATCATTGTGTTTATCTCATATTGATGTTTCGCTCTGTCTTTTCTTCTCTCTTCCTCAGGTGAGGCTTAACATTAACACACACACACACACACACACACACACACACACACACACACACGGGTCATTTGATAGTCTAGATTTGCACACAAGCAAAGAAGAGACTTTTCTTTAATTATAAACTAGAGATTATAACCATCTACCCTCTCTTTCTGAATAGGATTTACATATTTAAATGGGATAGAATTTGAGAGAGCCTGTTGAAATATTTTATGTATTCGTAATCTGATCCAGTGTTAAAATTGTACCCTTTTTTTTTTTTTTTTTTTTTTTTTGTTAATCCTCACCTGAGGATATTTTTTCTTATGACTTTTAGAAGGGGTGGAAGGGAGGGAGGAAGGGGAGAGAGAGACACATTGATTGATTTCCTCCCGAATGCACCCTGACGGGACTGGGATCAACCCCACAACCAACATACGAGGTACATTCCCTTGACTGGAACCGAACCCTTAATCCTTCTGTCTGAGCCTGACCCCCTAGCCACTGAACTAAACCATAAACCAGCCAGGGCAAAATGTGTACCTTTTAAATCTTTTTGTTGTTGTTGCTCAAAAATAATCATAGCAACAACTGATAGATTGTTTTTACTTTACTATAGGTTATTTCGATGTACACTGACTAGCATTCCTCAGACTCAGGCCTTACTGAATAAAGCCAAACTTCCGTTAGGACTGCTGCTTCATCCTTTCAAAGACCTAATGGTAAGTTATAAATTATTTACCTATTAAAATACTTTACCCAGTCTCTCGGTACTGCCATTCTTGGAATAAAATTTGTTTTTTAGGAAGCTGTTTTTAAAAAAAAAAGAAAAAAAGGGCCTCAAATCCTTCTGATTGACCCTATCCCACTCCCTCAAAAAAGCCTTTTCACTTTTGTCCTAAGGCTCTGGGACCTTAACATATAGCTACACACTGTTGAGAGGATCAGTGCATAAGTGAATTGATTTTCCAAAAAAAACCTCCAATTGATTATAGGATTTTATTGCCTTTACTGATACTTTTATATTAAGACTTTACAACTTTTTTTTTTTAATGTAGGATAAACTTTATAGGAATGTAATTGCAAAGTTTAATTGAATATTTAAATATGACAGTTCTTTCATGAGGATTTAGTAATAAGCCTCTTACTATAACATGAAGAAACTTTGAAATAATTTGTTTTAGAATAGAGGTGGGGAACATATAAGGCCTGTGAAATGATTTGGTCTGGTTCTGCTATGGCATTAGAGGTGAGTTAATTGAATGTTTGACCAAATATAGCAGGCTAATTTTGTATGATCCAAGAATGATGTTATATATATCGAAATGGTCCTTGGCAGGAAAAAGGTTCCCCACCCCTGTTTTAGAATGTTAATCATTCTTTTGCCACCCATCTCAAAAATACATTATAAATGTACTATGTTGGTTTTGTGTGTAAATGTTTAATGAGAAAATAAATACTTTTTAAAAGGTAAAATTTAAGAAACCAGTCCTAGAAAAAAGCAACAGAGTATCAAATTAATACATCTCTGCTACATAATTTTTTGTGTCGCATTTTGGAAACTTTTTACCTGGGGTTTTTCCTACAAAATTATAATATCCCCACAATTATTTGGAAGGTATGATTAATGCTTTGCCTTAGTCATGATGATCACTGCCTTAAAAAAATTAGTTCTGTTTTTTCAGCAATTGCCTGTGGTTACCTCCGGTACAATTGTGAGATGCCGTTCATGCAGGACATACATCAACCCTTTTGTCAGCTTTCTTGATCAAAGGAGATGGAAGTGTAACTTATGTTACCAAGTCAATGATGGTATGTTTTGTATTGTTTTGGTTTTTTTTGAAACATTTAAAAAATTTTACTTCCACTGTAGGGAAATCAGATAATACAAATATGAAGTTAAAAAAAAAAAATCAATAGCCCTGTCTTATTTACCTATAAACATTCCACTCAGAAATAGCTTCTGATAATTTTTTTTTAATATATATTTTATTGATTTTTTACAGAGAGGAAGAGAGGGGGATAGAGAGTTAGAAACATCGATAAGATCCATCAGCTGCCTCTTGCACACCCCCCACTGGGGATGTGCCTGCAACCAAGGTACATGCCCTTGACCAGAATCGAACCTGGGACCTTTCAGTCTGCAGGCTGACGCTCTATCCACTGAGCCAAACCGGTTTAGGCTCTGATAACTTTTTTCTATGCCCTTATTCTTACATATTAGAGGTGCACAAAATTCATACACAGGGTAGGTGGGGTGTTCCTCAGCCCAGCCTGTACTCTCTCCAATCTGGGACCCCTCAAGGGATGTCTGACTGCCCGGGCCTAAATGGGCAGTCAGACATCCCTCTCGTAATCCAGGACTGCTAACAACCAACCACTCGCCTACCTGCCAGCCTAATCACCCCTTAACCACTCCCCTGCCAGCCTGATCGACACTTAACTGCTCCCCTGCTGGCCCAATTGCCCCTAACTGTCCTCCCCTGCCAGGTTGGTCACCCCTAACTGCCCTCCCTTGCCAGCCTTGTCACTCCTAACTGTCCTCCTCTGCTGGCTACATTACCTACAAGTTCCCGCTCCTGCTAGCCATCTTGTTGTGGCCATCTTGTGTATTGGAGTGATGGTCAATTTGCATATCATTTTATTATATAGATAAATATAAATAACTAATTATATAGATAAATATAAATAACTAATTGCCTGGTGCACAAAATTTGTCCAGGGCGGGGTGGATATCCCTCAGACACTGGTCCTGCACCCTCTCCAATCTGGGATCCCACAAGGATCACGCCTAAACCGGCAGTTGGACATCCCTCTCACAATCCAGGACCACTGGCTCCTAACCGCTCGCCTGCCTGCCTGCCTGATTGCCCCTAACCATTCTGCCTGCCGGCCTTCTCCAACTACTGCCCCCTGCCAGCCTGCTTGCCCCCAACTTCCGCCCCCTTCCTGGCCTGCTTGCCCCAGCTACACCCCTCCCCCCCACTGGCCAACTGCCCTCGCTCACCAGCCTGCTTGTCCCCAACTGCTCATCCCTGCTGGTCTGATCGCCCCCAACTGCCCTCCCCTCCTTGCCTGACCTAACCGCCTCTGCTTCACACTGAAGGTCTCTAGCATAGTACCCTTTTATTAGTATAGAGGAAGATTATATTCTTCTTAGGCAAAAAAAAAAAAAGTGATAATATTACTTTGATACCACTATTTTATATTTATTATATTGGGTATAATAATAAATGGCATATTTTATACTGTTTTTTAAGTCTGTAATTTATGAAATAAATTTTTATTTAGAAATTGTCCCATGCCTTTAATCTAGGGCAGCGATTTTCAAATGGTGCACCAAGACAGAGAGAGGGAAAGAATCTTTAAAACACAATACCTGACTAGTCAGGGACACTGACATCTTTTCCCTTAGATTGTCAAATAAAAAAATGACAACAGTCAACACAACAGTAGCCATCTGGTGTGAATGAATCAAAATTATACTTTTTTTTTTTGTCAGATCAACAAAATATATATATATTTTGTATGCCACATATTTTTAATAATTAGTTCATGTGTGCCAAGAGATGAAAAAGGTTGAAAGCCACTGGTCTAGGGGTAAAAGGAAGTAGTCCACGGAATAGCTGCCATTAGCTTTATTCACTGCTGGATGAAGGGAGGTGGGCAGTGCTGGAAGGTTAGTTGAATGTAGTTTTCTCAGTAATTGAGAAGGAGGAGATCTCATTCAACTGTTTCACAATTTACTTTTGAGGAATATCATCTAACCAACTTTAATAGGATTCTAGAAGAAAAGGGGTATGCTGATATCCACATTGAAAATTAAGTCTCTGCTTGGAAGGAAATTTCATTAAGTATTGAGAAATAAAGGAATGTAAGATATCAAAACCCCATTAAAAATTTTATTTATTGATTAGAGAGAGAGACATTGATTTGTTGTCCTACTTATTTTATGCATTCAGGAATAGGGGAAAGTGGCTGAGACCGGTTTGGCTCAGAGGATAGAGCATCGGCCTGTGGACTGAAAGGTCCCAGGTTTGATTCTAGTCAAGGGCATGTACCTTGATTGCAGGCACATCCCCAGTGGGGGGTGTGCAAGAGGCAGCTGATCGATGATTCTCTCTCATCGATGTTTCTAACTCTCTATCCCTCTCTCTTCCTCTCTGTAAAAAAATCAAAATATATTTTTTTAAAAATAGAGGAAAGTGAGGATAGAGTAAGAGTATTCTTTTTATTCTATAATAATTCAGAAAATATATGTATAGTGTTTAGTACACCTTAAAAATCTTATGTATATGCTTCAGAATATGAAATGAAATGGTAATAAAGGTTATAGTCACTTTCATATGCAGCACAGACCATTTCATGAACTATGGCTTATCCTTTAGCTACATAAGAATTTGAATTTCTAAAAGTTAGAAGACAGCTGCAATGATAATTCATTTAGAAAATACTCATTGAGCTCCATTACATTATAAGTGGAAGGTAACTGATATTCCATAGAGGTTTTACTAATTAATGATATTTACCATACCTTTAGACTTTAAACTTTTTTTTTTTTTTTTTTTTTTTAAATATATATTTTATTGATTTTACACAGAGAGGAATTGAACCTGGGACCTTTCAGTCCGCAGACCGAAGCTCTATCCACTGAGCCAAACCGGTCCTGGCTAGACTTTAAACTTTTTAAAAAATTTTAATTCATTTTTGTTTTTCCTTTTAAGCTTCATTAGACATTATTGTTTTTTATAAAGTTTATTTTTTTAAATATATTTTATTGATTTTGTACAGAGAGGAAGGGAGAGAGAGTTAGAAACATCGATGAGAGAGAATCATCGATCAGCTGCCTCTTGCACACCCCCTACTGGGGATATGCCCGCAACCAAGGTACATGCCCTTGACTGGAATCGAACCCGGGACCCTTCAGACTGCAGGCTGACGCTCTATCCACTGAGCCAAACCAGTTTCGGCTTTACCGTACCTTTCTAAGAGTATCCAGAGTCTGTACATATTATGTGTCAAATGTTAATAGCTTTGCTAAAAAAATTATTGGCATTTAGGAATTTTTACCATTTTTTTTTTCCAAGCTATTTTAGAAAAGCTTTAGCAAGAATGAAAATGAAGAGGATATTAGAAGACAGGGAAAGAAAAAAAATAACAGTGATTTAGTATATAAAAGTAAGACATATGCAGGACCATTTAGTATATGAAGAACTTGAATGGATCTCAAAAACAAAGTGTACATCTTATCCCTTAACATTTAGTCTGTATTGAAGTATTTATAAATTACTAAATAAGAAAACAGCCAAACACAAGGTTTATTAAACAATCTCAGTTTTATCATTTTATGTTGTCAACTTATATAGTTCCTGAAGAATTCTTGTACAACCCTGTGACCAGAGTCTATGGAGAACCTCACAGAAGACCTGAAGTTCAAAATTCCACAATTGAGTTTATGGCTCCTTCAGAATACATGGTAAGTTATCATTTTTTTATATAACATATTTATCTCATAAAGTGGGTTTTAAATAAAACAAAACATTATAGTTTTAAATTTAGAAAAGTTATACATGTTCATTATAAAAGTAGTTAATTAGTACATAAGGATAAGTCTGAAATGTGTACTAGAATGTAAAGTTTCACTTATGATTCTTGTATGTTCATATAGAAATTTGCAATATCATATTGCGATCATATTTACTTTTAAGTCCTTTCAATTTTTTAAATTATAAATAATGTTATAATGAGCATCCTTTTCCAAGTACTTTTTTTGTTGTTATTAACCCTCACTCAAGGAGTTAGGATATTTTTTTCCATTGATTTTGAGAAGAGTGGAAGGGAGGGGGAAGAAAGGAGAGGGGAGAGAGAGACAGAAACATCGATAGACATAGATTGGTTGCCTCTCAAATGTGGTTAGAGCTGGAGATGGGACCTGCAACCCAGAAATGTGCCCTTGACCAGGAATCGAACCTATAGCCCTTTGGTGAGTGTGTAGGTTTGCAGGTTTGAGTCTGGTCAAGAGCAAGTACCTGGGTTGCAGGCTCGATCCCTGGCCCTGATCACAGCTCGTGTGATAAGCAATCAATGTCTCTCTCATATAGATGCCTCTCTCTCTCTCTCTCTCTCTCTCTCTCTCCCTCCCTCCCTCCCTCCCTCCCTCCCTCCCTTCCTTCCTCCTTCTCTCCCTCCCTCCCTCCTTCTCTCCCTCCCTCCCTCTTCCCTCCTCCCCTCCTTCTCTCCCTCCCTCCTTCCCTTCCTCCCTCCCACCCTCCATATAGATGCTTCTCTCTCTCTCTCTCTCTCTCTCTCTCTCTCTCTCTCTCTCTCTCTCTCTCTCTCCCCCTCCCTCCCTCCCTCCCTCCCTTCTTCCCTCCCACCCTCCCTTCTTCCGTTCTTCCCTCCCTCCCTCCTTTACTTCCTCCTCCCTCCCCCACTCTTCCACTCTCTGTAAAAAAAATCAGTGGAAAAAATATCCTCCAGTGCAGATTAAAGAATGTATGAATGGTTGGTTAGTAGTAACCGTCCCTTTGTTGAATTAAAAGCAGAAAATGCAGAAGCATTTGTTCTTTTGAATTGGCTTTCCTGGGTTTCTTTTCTTTTATCTCCCAGGTTTTACAAAAACAGCTTTCTTTAAATTTGGAATTTTTTTTTTTTTTTTTTTTTTTTTTTAGCAATCTTTATTGTTCATATTATTACAAAGGTTCCTCATTTCTTCCCCCCTCCACCAGGTTCCCACCCCACCCTCCGTCCCCCCCCCATCCCCCATTGTCCTCATCCATAGGTGCAGTTTATGTTCAGTCTCTTCTTCCCTCAATTTCCCCAATAGTAAATCCCTTTTCAGATAGTAAATCAGTTACTTAGCATTTTCTCATATCAATAATACCTCCACATGCCCAATGATACACTTCACACAAAAGACATTTCCCACTAGGTCAACCAGCCTCATCGAGGCCCCACCCAAGGGACTCACAGATCAACACCCCAGTCCTAAACTAACTCAACACATCCAGATCTAAGCCTTCATCACTTGATTCAGCAGACACTCAAGTTCCCACGAAAGTTTCCAGCCATGTCTGAGAAGCAGCCGTGGGGCAGGGGCAGGCAAGGAGCGAGCTGTTCTGGGCCTGGCTGCTCAGGGCCTGGCCTCTGTTGCTCTGGTTCATTCCACAACCAGCTGCTCCGGGTCTGGTCACTGCCGCTCCCAACCTAGTTGCTCTGGACTTGGCTGCTGCTGCTCCGGGCCTGGCCGCTCCCAGCCTGGCCGCCGCTGCTCCGGGCCTGGCCGCACCCGACCCGGCTGCTCCCCCGGGCCTGGCCGCTCCCAGCCTGGCAGCCGCTGCTCCGGGCCTGGCCACACCAGCCCCGCCTGCTCCCCCGGGCCTGGCCGCTCCCAGCCTGGCAGCCGCTGCTCCGGGCCTGGCCGCACCAGCCCCGCCTGCTCCCCCGGGCCTGGCCGCTCCCAGCCTGGCAGCCGCTGCTCCGGGCCTGGCCGCACCCGACCCGCCTGCTCCCCCGGGCCTGGCCGCTCCCAGCCTGGCCGCCGCTGCTCCGGGCCTGGCCGCACCCGACCCGACTGCTCCCCCGGGCCTGGCCGCTCCCAGCCTGGCAGCCGCTGCTCCGGGCCTGGCCGCACCAGCCCCGCCTGCTCCCCCGGGCCTGGCCGCTCCCAGCCTGGCAGCCGCTGCACCGGGCCTGGCCGCACCCGACCCGCCTGCTCCCCCGGGCCTGGCCGCTCCCAGCCTGGCAGCCGCTGCTCCGGGCCTGGCCGCACCCGACCCGCCTGCTCCCCCGGGCCTGGCCGCTCCCAGCCTGGCAGCCGCTGCTCCGGGCCTGGCCGCATCCGACCCGACTGCTCCCCCGGGCCTGGCCGCTCCCAGCCTGGCAGCCGCTGCTCCGGGCCTGGCCGCACCCGACCCGCCTGCTCCCCCGGGCCTGGCCGCTCCCAGCCTGGCAGCCGCTGCTCCGGGCCTGGCCGCACCCGACCCGCCTGTTCCCCCGGGTCTGGCCGCTCCCAGCCTGGCAGCCGCTGCTCCGGGCCTAGCCGCACCAGCCCCGCCTGCTCCCCCGGGCCTGGCCGCTCCCAGCCTGGCAGCCGCTGCTCCGGGCTTGGCCGCACCCGACCCGCCTGCTCCCCCGGGCCTGGCCGCTCCCAGCCTGGCAGCCGCTGCTCCAGGCCTGGCCGCACCCGACCCGCCTGCTCCCCCGGGCCTGGCCGCTCCCAGCCTGGCAGCCGCTGCTCCGGGCCTGGCCACACCAGCCCCGCCTGCTCCCCCGGGCCTGGCCGCTCCCAGCCTGGCAGCCGCTGCTCCGGGCCTGGCCGCACCCGACCCGCCTGCTCCCCCGGGCCTGGCCGCTCCCAGCCTGGCAGCCGCTGCTCCGGGCCTGGCCGCACCCGACCCGCCTGCTCCCCTGGGCCTGGCCGCTCCCAGCCTGGCAGCCGCTGCTCCGGGCCTGGCCGCACCAGCCCCGCCTGCTCCCCCGGGCCTGGCCGCTCCCAGCCTGGCAGCCGCTGCTCCGGGCCTGGCCGCACCCGACCCGCCTGCTCCCCCGGGCCTGGCCGCTCCTAGCCTGGCAGCCGCTGCTCCGGGCCTGGCCGCACCCGACCCGCCTGCTCCCCTGGGCCTGGCCGCTCCCAGCCTGGCAGCCGCTGCTCCGGGCCTGGCCGCACCCGACCCGCCTGCTCCCCCGGGCCTGGCCGCTCCTAGCCTGGCAGCCGCTGCTCCGGGCCTGGCCGCACCAGCCCCGCCTGCTCCCCCGGGCCTGGCCGCTCCCAGCCTGGCAGCCGCTGCTCCGGGCCTGGCCGCATCCGACCCGACTGCTCCCCCGGGCCTGGCCGCTCCCAGCCTGGCAGCCGCTGCTCCGGGCCTGGCCGCACCCGACCCGCCTGCTCCCCCGGGCCTGGCCGCTCCCAGCCTGGCAGCCGCTGCTCCGGGCCTGGCCGCACCCGACCCGCCTGTTCCCCCGGGTCTGGCCGCTCCCAGCCTGGCAGCCGCTGCTCCGGGCCTAGCCGCACCAGCCCCGCCTGCTCCCCCGGGCCTGGCCGCTCCCAGCCTGGCAGCCGCTGCTCCGGGCTTGGCCGCACCCGACCCGCCTGCTCCCCCGGGCCTGGCCGCTCCCAGCCTGGCAGCCGCTGCTCCAGGCCTGGCCGCACCCGACCCGCCTGCTCCCCCGGGCCTGGCCGCTCCCAGCCTGGCAGCCGCTGCTCCGGGCCTGGCCACACCAGCCCCGCCTGCTCCCCCGGGCCTGGCCGCTCCCAGCCTGGCAGCCGCTGCTCCGGGCCTGGCCGCACCCGACCCGCCTGCTCCCCCGGGCCTGGCCGCTCCCAGCCTGGCAGCCGCTGCTCCGGGCCTGGCCGCACCCGACCCGCCTGCTCCCCCGGGCCTGGCCGCTCCCAGCCTGGCAGCCGCTGCTCCGGGCCTGGCCGCACCAGCCCCGCCTGCTCCCCCGGGCCTGGCCGCTCCCAGCCTGGCAGCCGCTGCTCCGGGCCTGGCCGCACCCGACCCGCCTGCTCCCCCGGGCCTGGCCGCTCCCAGCCTGGCAGCCGCTGCTCCGGGCCTGGCCGCACCCGACCCGCCTGCTCCCCCGGGCCTGGCCGCTCCCAGCCTGGCAGCCGCTGCTCCGGGCCTGGCCGCACCCGACCCGCCTGCTCCCCCGGGCCTGGCCGCTCCCAGCCTGGCAGCCGCTGCTCCGGGCCTGGCCGCACCCGACCCGCCTGCTCCCCCGGGCCTGGCCGCTCCCAGCCTGGCAGCTGCTGCTCCGGGCCTGGCCGCACCTGACCCGGCTGCTCTGGGCCCGGCTGCCCCGGGCCCGGCCGCTCCGAGCCTGGCCACTCCCGACCTGGATGCTCTGGGCTTGGCTACTGCTGTTCTGGGTCTGGCTGCTCCCACCCCGGCTGCTCTGGGCCCGGCTTCTTCGGGCCCGGCCACTCCGGCTCTGGGTGTTCCTGGACTGGCCACCCTGGGCTTGGCCGCCTCCGCCTCATGCCTGGCTGCCACTGCCCCAGGTCTGGCTACTCCAGTGCTGGCTGTTGATGCTCTGGTTCTGGCTGCTGTTGTTCTGGGGCCTGGCCGTTGCTGCTCCGGGTCTGGCTGCCACTGCCTTGTGCCTGGCCACTCTAGGCCTGGCCGTCGCTGTTCCAACATTCTGTCCTTTTTTTTTCTTTTTAAAACGCATTTATGTTGCAATGTTGGCTGGTGAGTTGAGTTCTGACTTAGTCTTTGATTTTTCAAGATCTTCTTTGTATTCTTTCTTAAGTAATTTTACTATTTTTTGCTCTCACTTGATTTCTTCACATTGAGAACTTCTTTGGTTTCTTCCTCCTTGTCCTGGGAGCTCAGCAGGTTGGCCTGTGGCACCCCTTTGTTCTCCGTGGGCTCCTGTGCTGCTTCAGCCTGTTGCCAGGACGGCGCCGCCCAGGAAGCAGCCCCCGGCCTTGGCTCCATTGCCCGAGCTCAGTGGTCAAAGGCTCAGGGGCACCCACGCCCCCAGGGGCCCCGTGGCCCGCCTCCTTGCTGGTGCCCGGTTGGCTGGAGTCCGGCAGGGGCTTCCGCTCCCCTCTGCGTTCCCCCAGCCTAGAGCTTTTTTTTTCTCCTTCCCGCTAGGGAAGTCCAGCATCAGAGTCAACAGACTGTCCTCTGCGCGCAGTTTGCGCGAGTCCCACAGACTGTCCTCTGCGCACAGTTTGCGCGAGTCCCACAGACTGTCCTCTGCGTGCAGTTTGCGAGAGTCCCGGGGGCCCGGCCTTTCGCCGCTCTTCCCGGACTCCACCTCACAGCCCCGTCTCCCTCTGCCTGAGCCTGGGTCCCCAGGGATTGGCCCAGAACTGGGGTTCGGAGCAGTCCGGACTGAGGCTCAGCGCCGCCGGAGGCCTTGTTTCTTCCGGCTAGGGCAACCCAGCATCAGAGTCAACATTCAGTCCTCTGCGCGCATTGCGCGCGACTCCCGGGGCCCTGCCTTTCGCCGTTTTTCTGCCTCACGGCCCCGTCTCCTCCCACCGGAGCCTGGGTCCCCAGGGTCTGGCCCATAACTGGGGCTCAGCGCTGCCGGTTCGGGGGGGCTCAGCGCTGCCGGTTCGGGGGTTCAGCCCAGGCTGGGGGTTTTATTTCCTTCCTGCTAGGGAAGGAAAGGCGGCTCCCCGCCCTCTCCTCCTCTCTGGCTGCGACCTCTCCGTGCGCGCGTGCGGGCGGGCAGGCGCGCGCAGCATGTCTCCGTACCTTAGGCTTTTTTTCGGCTCCTCTGATTTTCTTTCTGGTTTTCTCTTTCCTTCTTGTTGTAGAAATTTCAGTCAGTCGACTACCTGTAGCTCTGGGCAATGTCCACTCTACATTTTAGTTGTATTCCATTGAAATTGTTGTGTGCTGCCGAGGCTAGATGTCTACCCGAGCAGCCATCTTGGATCCTCTCCTAAATTTGGAATTTGACTATAGCAAGAGGTTTTGCTTCTTCCCCAACTTACCTCTTGGGACAACAGATTCTGGGATTCAGCAAGTGATATATACAAAAACAAACACTCACACACAAAAGTTAGTACACTATATGTACCAGTCCTGATTGTGATTGCTGCTTTTTATTGAATTGAAAACAGCTCTTTGAATTGGGAAGTTTAAAAATTGTGAAACTTGCCTGAAATGTGTTTGTTAAATAACCAGCTGTCAGGCAACTTAACTTTTCACTTTCAGAACTGTAATTTCTTCTAAATAGTGAAATATGATGCACATATGGAAAAATTTATATAACAAAAATATATAGTATGCAAAATAATTATAAATGCAGTGTTAGCATCACCCAGGTCGAGAATTTGAAGGTTGCTAATATTCCCAGAAGTCCTTCTGATCACATTTCCTCCCTTTCCCTTTAGAAAACAATCTTCTGACTAATGGCAATCACATCCTCATTTTTTCCCTGAAGTATCCATCTGAAAACAATATAGTATAATTTTGCCTGTTTTTTTTGTTGTTTTTTGTTTTTTAAATATATTTCTTTATTGATTTCAGAGAGGAAGGGAGAAGAAAAGAGAGATAGAAACATCAATAATGAGAGAGAATAATTGATTGGCTGCCTCCTGCATACTCCCCACTGGGGATCAAGCCTACAACCCATGCATGTGCCCTTGGCCAGAATCGAATCTGGAACCCTTCAGTCTGCAGGCTGACGCTCTATCCACTGAGCCAAGCTGGCTAGGGCTTGCCTGTTTTTTAAACTTCTTTCTACATTATGTTTTAATCAGTTGTTTATTATAATCTCCATTTAATTTATAAATAATGTTTATTGTTTTGCTATATGTGGACAGGACAAATGATAAATTTAAATTTAATCTTATTAAATTTTTTTTTCAGTTACGACCACCTCAACCTCCAGTGTATGTCTTTGTGTTTGATGTGTCTCACAATGCAATTGAAACTGGATACTTGAATTCAGTTTGCCAGAGTTTGTTAGACAATCTGGATTTGTAAGTATCTTAATTCAGCTTCGGTTGGAAACTAATAGTGTTTATAAAATGGATAGTTTTAAAATAAAATTTTAAAAAAAGCAAAAAAACTATGTAATGTTCTAAAAGCCTACGTAAGTCAGTTGTGAACTTCAGGCCTTGCTTTCTCCAAAATTCTATTTTAACTTTTTATTTTGGAAAAATTTTAAACATAGAGTAAATAGAATTTAATGAACTTCCAAATATCCATCCCTCCTCCCTCAACTTTAACATTTTTAGCATTCAGCTATTATTTTTTCCCCCTCTTAAATATTATAGAGGAAGGGAAAAAAGGAGAAAAAAAGGGGCGGGGAGAGAAAGACACATCAATTGGTTGCCTCTTTCACTAGCTCTGACCATGGATTGAACCCAAAATCTGGGTATGTGCCTTGATTGGGAATTGAACCCACCACCTTTTGGTGTACAGATAATGTTACCACCAACTGAGCCACACCGGCCAGGACAGTGTTCAGCTGTTTTGCTTTATGTAATAACACAAACATACCTCTCCCTTGAGTACTTAAAGTGTAAATCTCAATCAGCATATTACCTTACCTATAAATACTTAGAATTATTTTTAGCTCTAATTAAAATAGGAGTGTCACACCAAACAAAATTAGCAATAATTTTATAATATCAACTAATACCCAGTCCAGTTTTTGTTCTGATTGTTTCAAAAATGTTTCTTTACTGTAGGTTTATTAGAATAAGAACTAAACTATTTTTACACATTGCTTTTGGCTATTATGTCTCATAAGTTTCTTAAAATATCTGTACTTTACTTTTTATTTATTTAAAAATATCTGTATTTTTTTTCCTCTCTCTCTCTCTCTCTCTCTCTCTCTCTACTTTAAAAAGTGTTTAGTTATTTAAGGTAACCTATAAAAGTTTGTGTGACCTTTTAGTGTAATGTATTATAGTGTTCTTGTGTTCCATGGAAGAATATGGAAAGCCAAATCTCATCAGAAACAGATTAACTCCCTTACCTTGATGATAAGGGGCATCCTTGTTCTTGCCAGCATTTGTACTTTTAATGTTATAGGTTGTGTATGAGGATTGTCTGTTGAGGAAGAGTCCATTGATTCACCCAAACATGGGTAAAATTTTTAACAACTATGCAGTATCTAAATTTATATTAAATTTTAGAGTTGGTATATAGTAACTTTATAATATATTTTATAAATTAAAATCTTCTATAAAGTTTTGTTTATACTTTCCAGTATTTTTATATGCCATTTTCCAAGTGATTATATAATTTTATATAGGTGTAATGAGTTTTGAATTGCTGTATTATTATTGGGTTTTCTTGATTGGTTTACATATAGTGTTTTCACTTTGAGTAGGATATATTTTTATGGTGATTAAACATTGGGTGGGTTAAATCTTTATGTTAGGACAAATTCTATAATATGAAAGTAGATATTTTCATGTACCTCTTATTGGATATTTAATATATATGTATATGAATATGAGAAAATTTGATAAAATACTCTTCTAAATTTATTTTTAGGCTTCCTGGCAACACTAGGACAAAAATTGGCTTCATAACATTTGATAGTACAATCCACTTCTACAGTCTTCAAGAAGGTCTCTCTCAACCTCAGATGCTAATAGTTTCAGATATTGAAGGTACATATACACTTGAAATTATTCAACTATCTTAGTCATTTGTAGCTTTAGAAATATTTCATGACTATTTGGTAAATTAAGAATGTATGGTATAATTCTATATTGAGGAAAACCTTGAGTATAATATCATAAGAATGTTGAAATGTAAGAGTCCTTCAGTTCAATCCTCATTTAATAAAAGGAGGAAGTAGTTATAGAGGAAAAGTCCTTTATAAACAAGGCAACACATTTATTCAAAAAGTATTTGAGGAGAGACATATAGACCAATAGAGAACCCAGAAATTATATAATATAGAAATTATATAATAGAATAGAGAACCCAGAAATAAATGATTACATATGAACACTTTGATTTTTTATATAAGGATGCTGAAAACATTCAATGGCGAAAGACAGTCTTTTTTTTTATATATATGTTTTATTGATTTATTACAGAGAGGAAGGAAGAGAGCTAGAGACCTAGAAACATTGATAAGCTGCCTCCTGCACACCCGCTCCTGGGGATGTGCCCGCAGCCAAGGTACATGCCCTTTATCGGAATCGAATCCGGGACCTTTCAGTCCACAGGCTGATGCTCTATCCACTGAGCCAAATTGGTTTTTGGCGACAATCTTCTTTTTAAAAAAAAATAATGTTCTTGGAGAGAGGAAGGGAAAAGGAGAGAGAGAAACATCAGTTGGCTGCCTCCTATATGCCCCCTGCACTGGGGATAGAGCTGCAAGCTGTCTGTGTGCCCTGACTGGGAATTGAACCAGCAACCTTTTGGAGCATGAGATGACACTCAATGAACTGAGCCACATCAACCATAGAAGAAAAGACAGTCTTTTCAACAAATAGTTCTGGGAATACTGAACATCAAATGAATGAAGTTGAACCCTTACCTTAAACCAGATAAAATTAACTCAGTGGATGAAAGAGCCAAACTTAAGAACTAAAACTACAAAATATAAAACTCTTAGAAGAAAACATAGGGGGAAATCTTCATGACATTAGAGTTGACAGTGATTTCCTGGATATGACACGGAAAGCAAAGACACCAAGAAAGAAAAAATAATAAAACGGACTTTTTCAATATTAAAACTATTGTATATCAAAGAACACTACCGAGAGTAAAAAGTCAACTCACAATAAAAAAGGCAACTCACAGAATGGGATAAAATATATGTAAATCATACTAGTATATCTAAGAAAGGATTAATATTCAGAACATCTAAAGAACTACTCAGCAACAAAATTACATCAAAAATAGGCAATTTTGCTGCCAAAACCAGTTTGGCTCAGTGGATAGAGTGTCAACCTGCAGACTGAAAGATCCCGGGTTCGATTCCGGTTAAGGGCATGTACCTTTGTTGCGGTCACATCCCCAGTAGGGGGTGTGCAAGAGGCACCTGATCGATGTTTCTCTCTGGTCCATGTTTCTAACTCTCTATCCCTCTCTTCCTTCTGTAAAAAAAAAAAAATCTATATATATTTTTAAAAATAGGCAACTTGCTTGAATAGATATTTCTCTAAAGAATATATACAATGGCCAATAATGAAATAATGACAAAATACCTAATGTTATTAGTCATTAGAGAAATGCAAATCAAAACCACAATGAGATACCATTCCATGATATGGCTATTACCCAAAAACGGAAAACAAAAAATATTGGCAGGGATGTGGAAACAGTGGAACTGTTGTGCATTGTTGGTGGCACTGATGGTGCAGCCACTATGGAAAACAGTATGGAGAGTCCTCAAAAAATTTGTATTTTTTACCATAATTTAAAAAATTAACTCAAAAGTTAACTTAAGTGTGAGACTAAAACTATAAAACTGTTAGATGGAAATATAGAAATAAGTTTTTGTGACCTTGCATTAGGCAGTGATTTCTTAAGATATAATACCAAAAACACAAACAATAAAATCATAGATAAGTTAGACTTCTTCAAAATTAAAATCTTTTGTGTTAAATTCAAAGGACACCATCAAGAAAGTGAACTGAACCCTAGCTGGTTTGGCTCAGTGGGTAGAGTGTCGGCCTGCAGACCAAAAGGTCCTGGGTTTGATTGCAGGAGGCAACCAATCAATGTGTTTCTTTCACATCAGTGTTTCTCTCTGTCTTTAACTCTCACTACCACTCTCTCTAAAAGATCAATAGAAAAATATCCTCGAGTGAGGATTAAAAAAAAGTGAACTGAGAATCAATAGAATGAAAGAAAATATTAGAATGAAAGAAAATATTTGTAAATCATATATCTGATCAGGGAATTATATCAAATTATGTTAAGAACTACAACTTGCCGAGGCCGGTTTGGCTCAGTGGATGGAGCGTCAGCTTGCGGACTGGGGGGTCTGGGTTTGATTCCAGTCGAGGGCATGTGCATTGGTTGCGGGAACGTCCCTGGTGCGGGGAGTGCAGGAGGCAGCTGATCGATGGCTCTCTCATCGATGTTTCTGGCTCTCTATCCCTCTCCCTTCCTCTCTATAAAAAAATCAATAAAATAAAATATATTTGAAAAAAAAGAACTACAACTTAACAATAAAAAGACAAATAACCTAATTAAAAATTGGGTGAAGGAATTAAATAAACATCTCTATTCACACAATAGTTAGTGTTCTTTATATACAGTTGGCCATTTAGTACTTGAGTTATCAGGGAAATACAAATGAAAACACAACAGTAAATTCACAACTTGACCTATGAGAATTACCTGTTTAGATTTTGCTTTATGATAAAGAAGTATCTGGGTGAACAGATTAGAGAATGATATGAACATTTAGAACCAAAACAGAAGTGAGCTCTCCTCAATTACTGTCCTTTAAAGAGGTACATTCAGTCCACATTGTTCATGGATTCCTTACTTGTGAATTTGCCTACTCACTAAAATTTACTTGTAACCCCAAAACCAATACTCATCGTGCATTTACAGACATTTTCAGAGATGAAAACTGATTCTTAAAATTTGTTAACTTATGTGAGGTGGCATCTGGCAGTTTTCATACTGATAACTCAAGTATTTAATGGCCAACTGTATATAAAGAATACTGACTATTGTGTGAATAGAGATGTTTATTCAATTCCTTCACCCAATTTTTATTCTTCTTTGTGTGTCATCTGAGTCAACCTGTTTTTAATTATTATTATTGAATTTAGAGAGATAGAAACATTGATGTGAGACAGAAACATCAATCTCTTATCTCTTGTATGAACCCTGACTGGGCATTCAACTTGAAACCTGAGCATGTGCCTTGGACCAGGAATCGAATCCTTGACCTTTTGGTGCAGGGAACGACTCTCCAACCAACTGAGCCACACTGACCCCAGCCTTTTTTTTTTGGCTGGCTTTCAGGGCTAAGCAAGAACTTTATAAAGTAGAGTTCTGAATTGTTGCTTTTAACCTAAGAAGCAGAGCACTTGTACAAACCCTTACTGAGTGCTTACAAATCTATAGTTTCTAATTGGGAGATTATTTATCTTTTACACAGGAACAGTTAAGTTCCAGCCCTAGCCAGTTTGGCTCAGTGGATAGAGCATTGACCAGCAGACTGTAGGGTCCTGGGTTCAACTCTGATCAAGGGCACGTAGCTTGGTTGCACATTCCTCCTTGGCCTGGGCCCTGGTCAGGGTGCGTGCAGGAGGCAACCAATCGATGTGTTTCTCTCACATGGATATTTCTCTCTTATCTTTCCCTCTCTTCCACTCTCTCTAAAAATCAATGGAAAACTATCCTTGGGTGAAAATTAAAAAAAAAAAAAAAGAAGAAGAAGAAGAAGAAGAAGAGGAGTTAAATTCCAATAAATACCTAAATTACACACACATAGGCATGTACTATAGTAGAGGAGGAGGTGGTTTTGGGATACCTTTACCAATTTTTAAAAAAATATTTATTTATTTCAGATATTTTTATACCTATGCCGGAGAACTTATTAGTAAATTTAAATGAAAGTAAAGAGGTAAGGCACATTTTCCTATCTCACATGTTTAATTGCAGTATTGAAGGAATATATTTTTTAAATAAATATTAAGTAAAATTTTGCTTCTTTCTGTGACACTTTCTAATATGTACAGCATTTTATATTTTGAAGTTAATTAAAATTCATCAGAAGAACTACTCTTGACTTTGACTTTGAACTTATTGGTTTTAAGTCTACTTATAGCAAGTTATTTGTAGTTTGGTAGAAGATGAGCCTATTCTATTAAGGAAGAAAACCTGAAGGAAACCTGCCTTGCCAGCCACCTGGGAAATCGGGAGGTTTATTGAGATAAGCATCTGGTCACTACATAGAAGAAGCACTTTAGCTAGGCTGCTTTCAGTGCCCTGTGCTTTTCTGATTCACAGAGTGTCATTGGGGTCAGTTCAGAAGAAACTCTTATTACCTGCCTGGAAATTGCCATGACATAATACAGTGAGAGGTGAACAGAATGTGTCTGAAGGGGGGATGTTGTCGACCCTGTATATGCATATATGCTGTAGGGGTAACATTTTAACTAGCAAGTCTATGGTCTCAACTGTTGGCAATGGTGACTTCACCATAGTATGATATATTTTTTCATATTAACGCTCTTTATTTGTACATCCTAACCTAAATAGGTAGTTGTTTTTCATTTTGTTTTTCTTTTGTTGTGGTTATTACTAGTTGGCAAATTTACTGGATATCTTAGATTTTCCAGTAAGGAAAAGTTAAACTCATTTTGGAACTAAAAAGAATATAGTGTGTAGAGGTGATTGAGAAGGCCTTATTTCATGGCACTAAAAGAAATCAAATCTCTAAACTGTGATGGTTCTTTTGGATACATTTTGGACTTACAGTCTTGCTGGACTACTGCATGTGCAAGAACTGTAAGGCCGCAATTTTTATTTGTCTTGCTTGCCAATTTATAATGTTTATTTAAAATGACTTTCTTGTTATTTGACCTACTTCATTGTTTACTGTAATGTCTGTAGATTCTCTGACCATCATCATGACTCAGTGCTTTGTCTATTGTATTAGTTACTGGCTTTTTGTAAAAAAAAAAAAAAATTCAATTCTAACACTCTTGAGTTTTCTTGCTTTATTTCACAAGCTCGTCCAAGATTTACTGAAAACTTTGCCACAAATGTTTGCCAAGACCCTGGAGACCCAGAGTGCCTTGGGTCCTGCACTTCAATCTGCCTTTAAGCTGATGTCCCCAACTGGTGGTCGAATGTCTGTCTTTCAAACACAACTCCCAACTCTTGGAGCAGGAGCTCTGAAACCACGAGAGGAACCCAACCAAAGGTCATCTGCTAAGGTTAGAAGGTCATCAGATCTATGATAAGATTTATGTTGGTGCTCTGTCTCTGTTCATACAGCTTTTTTTTTTTTTTTTTTTTTTTAAGTTTATATTTTAGTTGTGGAGAGTAGGGAATATAAGAAAATAGGTAAAATGTTTCTTTCTTGTGTAGACTTTTCTGTTTTATTACATTACTAGAGGCTCAGTAATTCATGTACCAATGGGGCCCTAGGCCTGGCCTGTGGGTTCGGGCTGAAATGTTTCTCTGACATCCCCCAAGGAAGTAAGAGAGCGCAGACCAGGCTAAAGGACCCCACTGGTGCACAATTAGGACCTGGGAGAGACACAGGAGGTTGACGAGCTGGGGAGGGACCACAGGAGGGCTCCAGGGCATATCTATCTGGTCTGGCTTGTTCAGTCCCTGTCGGCTGGACCACAGCAGAAAGCTAATTTACCAGAGTGTCTGCCTCCTGGTGGTCAGTGTACGTCATAGCGAGCAGTTGAGCTGCCTTAGCATATCATTAGCATGTTACACTTTGGTTGAACAACTGGACACTTAGCATATTAGGTTTTTAATATATAGAATTTCAGAGAGAGGAAGGGAGAGGTAGAGAGATAGAGAAACATCAATGATGAGAGAGACTTGATGATCATTGATAAGCTGTCCCCTACATGCCCTCACTGGGTATCAAACCTGAAACCCAGCATTTTCCCTGACCAGAATCGAACTGTGACTTCCAGGTTCATTGGTGAACTGAGCCACACTTGCTAGACTAGAAATTTAAATTTTATAACAATTCTTTTTTGTATGAGAACATTTATTTGGTAAATCACTGGGATAGAATAATTAATTCCTATAAGAAAGGGGTTTAGGAAACAAGTTATGCAGATTAAGGAAGAGCTCTTGGAGGTTGGGAGTGAAGAAGCTGAGGGTGCCTGGGGCAGAGAGGGAAAGGCATGGCATGCTCCCAGGAGCACAAGTGCCTAAATTTTATAACAATTTAATGATTTAAATTTTTTTCTCTTTTTAATTTATTATTAATAGGAAATTCACTTGACACCATCCACTGACTTCTATAAGAAATTAGCTCTGGACTGTTCTGGTCAACAGGTAGCTGTTGATTTATTCCTTCTCAGTGGACAGTATTCTGATTTGGCTTCTTTGGGTAAGTTTTTCCTAATTATTATTTTTCTCAAAGGAGTGTCAAAATGATATTTATATAATGGTATTCTAAAGAGACAAAGTAAAAGAAATTTAATGTCCTTGGGAGAGTTAATCAGGTTAGCCTGTTATAAACCCTATGAGTGGCCCAGTCCTCGAAATTCATGTACTTGGGGGGTTTGGGAGGGGAGACTTCAGCTCAGATTGCGAGAGGATGCAGACCAGGCTAAGGGACCCTACCAGTGCATGATCAGGGCTGGGGAAGGATATGGGAGGTTGGCCAACTGGGGAGGGATTGCAGGAGGGCTCCAGGGCATATCCAGCCCATCTTGCTCAGTCCCAATCGGCCAGACCCCAGAAACAAGCTAACCTACCTGTCAGAGCGTCTGCCCCCTGGTTGTCAGTGCACATCATAGCAATTGGTCGACTCATTGACTGTCTGACCCCCTGGTGGTTAGTGTACATCATAGCGACTGGTCAGCTGTCTGCCCCCGGGTGATCAATGCACGTCATAGTGAGTGGTTGAGTGGTCTTAGCATATCATTAGCATATTATGCTTTGATTGATTGACTGGCTGTCCAGACAACTGGACACTTAGCATATTAGGCTTTTATTATATAGGATAGTCTTCTACTTAAAAAATTTATAGTAGAGAAATTTATATGCTACTATTTAAAGGAATGAATTTTTTTTTAAATATACTTTTATTGATTTCAGATGGGAAGGGAGAGGGAGCAAGAGATAGAAACATCAATATGAGAGAGAATCAATGATTGGCTGCCTCCTGCATGTCCCCTACTGAGAATTGAGCCCACAACCAGGGCATGTGCTCTTGACCAGAAGTGAACCTGGGACCCTTTAATCTGCAGATTGATTCTCTATCCACTGAGCCAAATCAGCTAAGGCAAAATATTCTTTTTTGATGGTACCTGGGGAGGTTAAAGAAAAATTTATTCAAATGCCTGTAGTTACTTTGATATAGTAATATTAGTCAACAGCAGAATTTAAAAGAAGTGTGTGTTTTCTTCCAGGTTGTATTTCTCGGTATTCAGCAGGTAGTGTCTATTATTATCCCTCATACCACCATCAACACAACCCAGTCCAGGTACAGAAATTACAGAAGGAGCTACACAGATACCTCACTCGGAAGATTGGTTTTGAGGCAGTCATGAGGATTCGGTGTACCAAAGGTGGGGGTACTATTTTTTTTTTTGCATTTACATAGAAGTAAATGTTTCCTTTGATTCTCTCTCTCTCTCTCTCTCTCTCTCTCTCTCTCTCTCTCTGTATATATATATATATATATATATATATATATATATATATATTTATAGTGTTATCTCAAAATTTGCTATTTTAAAATATTTTATTTACTCTGATGGAATATGCAATTAAGAGTAAAAAGGAACTTTTTTTTTTTTAAGGGACTATTTTGAATATACCAAAAACCACTGCATTGTACACTTGAAAGGGGTGATTTCTACTGTATATGAATTATATCTCAATGGAAAAAGATTATAATTCCAAAGAACCTAAGATATATTACTGATGGATTTTTAAAAAAATATATTTTTACTGATTTCAGAGAGGAAGGGAGAGAGAGAGAGAAACATCTATGATGAGAATCATCAACTGGCTACCTCCTGCACGCCCCACACTAGGGATTGAGCCTGCAGCCCAGGCATGTGCCCTGCCAGGAATTGAACCATGACCTCCTGGTTCATAGGTTGACGCTCAACCACTGAGTCACAGATTTTTTTTAATTTGGTGATGTCCCATCAATCAATTCTTTTTCTTTTTTTAAAATATATTTTATTGATTTTTTTACAGAGAAGAAGAGAGAGGGATAGAGAGTTAGAAATATTGATGAGAGAGAATCGTCGATCAGCTGCCTCTTGCATATCCCCTACTGGGGATGTGCCAGCAACCAAGGTACATGCCCTTGACTGGAATCGAACCTGGGACCTTTCAGTCTGCAGGCCGACGCTCTATCCACTGAGCCAAACCAGTTTCGGCAATCAATTCTTTTTCTGTTTGTATTTTTGGTATTGTAGCATTAAGTCACTGCTTAATCCAAGATCACGAATATTTGTATTCAATTTTCTGCTAAGAGTTTTATAGTTATACTTCTGATATTGAAGTATTTCATTTACTTTGGTTTAATTTTTATATTTTATTTGAGGTAGATGTTTGACTTCTTTCTTTTGCATGTGGATGTATTATTGTCCCAGTATCATTTGTTGAAAAGAGTATTTTGTCCTCATTGAATTATCCTGGGACCCATGTACCCTTGGTGAAATCAATTGATCATAACTATGAGGCTTTGGATTCTGAATTATATTCCAGTAATTTGAATGCCTATTCTTACACCAGTTCTTAACTGTAACTTTCTAGTAAGTTTCAAATTTGGAAGTATGAGTCCTCTCAACTTTTACTTTTTTTCCTTAAGATTGTTGTGATGTTCCCATATTATTTTTGGGTTCAGTTTGTCAATTTCTGCAAAGAAGCTAGTTGGGATTTTGATAGAGATTGCATTTAATAGACATCAATTTGGAGAATATTGTCATTTTAACAGTATTATGTCTTTCCATCCACAAATATAGTATGTTTTTCCATTTATTTAGACCTTCTTTAATTTTTTTCAACAATGTTTTATAGTTTTAGAGTATAAGTTTTATATTTCTTTAAATTTACTCTTAAATATTTTTGATGCAGTTATAAATAGAATTATTTTTTGAATTTTATTGCTTCTTTATATAAATATAAATAATCTTGTATATTGATCTTGTATGCTGCAGTCTAGCTGAACTTGTTTATTAATTCAAATAGTTTTTTAGAGTTTGAAGGATTTTTTAAATGCTTTCATTTTATTTATTTCTTAAACTATATTTTTATTGATTTCTAAAGAGGACAGAAGAGAGAGGGGGAGAGAGAGAAATATCAGTGATGAGAGAGAATCATTAACTGGCAGCCTCCTGGACTGAGCCCAAAACCCAAGCACGTGCCCTTGAATGGAATCAAACCCAGAACCCTTCAGTTCACTGAGCCAAACTAGCTGGGACTAGCGTTTATGTTTTAAAGGGCCTGTTTGTTGTATCCCATTTATTTAAGATTGATGGACCTAAAAACTGGTTTATTTCTGCAGATATTGCCTATAAGTTATTGGAAATGTGTACCCCAAAGGTGCTTTTAAGTTTTTTCTATTTGTCAGGATAGAAGCTATTTTATATGTACCTAATTTTGCATTACAGACAAAAACAGTACTGCTTAATTTTTTTGGCACATATAATTTGGTATTTGAATGAGTATATCTGTAGGATAAAGTCTTAGATATGGGATTACTAGGGTCAAAGGACATGTTCATTTAGAATTTTTTATGGATATTGCAAATATATCTTTCAACAAAGTTTTTTGAAAATTTGAATCTTCACCTTCATTTAAGAAGATACTCACCCTCACTAAATATTGTGTATTATCTAATACTAGAGGCATGGTGCATGACATTCATACACGGGTTGGGGGTGTCCCCTCAGCCCAGCCTGCACCCTCTCACAGTCTGGCACCTCTTGGGGGATGTCTGCCTGCCAGCTTAGGCCTGATCACCCTGGGGACTTCTATTACCACTGCTGTGCTAGCCAGCCATAAGCCCAGCTTCTGATTGAGCAGCGCTCCCCCTGTGGGAGCGCACTGACCACCAGGGGGCAGCTCCTGCGTTGAGCATCTGCCCCCTGGTGGTCAGTGCACATCATAGCAACCGGTCTTTTCACCATTTGGTCTATTTGCATATTAGCCATTTATTACTACATAGGATAGGATCATTCTGTTCCCAATTCCAGTGTATGGGTTGATTTTCTCCACACTTCCAAGTACCTAATTAACTCAATCCTGACACTACCTACCTGGAGATAGAATCAGATCCCACAGGTTAAACCCCCCAGTCCCTCATCCCCTCATCGTAATACACACATACACCTTAGAAACTAATGTCCAGTCCAGGGTGTTGCCTATGCTTCTGCCTGATTGGCTATAGATTGGAAGTTTCAACAACCCCTTCCTTGGGTTCCATTAATTTGCTAGAACAGCTTAAAAATATTTCACTTGTTATTTTACTTGTTAGATTACTGATTTATTAAAAAATGATATAGCCCTGACTGGTTTGGCTCAGTGGATAGAACGTCGGCCTGCAGACTAAAAGGTCCCAGGTTCGATTCCGGTCAAGGGCATGTACATCCCCAATAGGGGGTGTGCAAGAGGCAGCTGGTTGATGTTTCTTTCTCATTGACGTTTCTAGCTCTCTATCTCTTTCCCTTCCTCTCTGTTAAAAATAAATAAAATATATTTAAAAACAAACAAATATATATATATATATATATATATATATATATATATATATTTTTTTTTTTTTTTTTAATAAAATATATTTTAAAAGAAGAAAGGATATAACTCAGAAACAGCAAGATGGCAAGGTATAGGGACAGGGAAAGGGTATGAAGCTTTTGAAGCTTCTATACTCTCTGAGTACTCCACTCTCCCTAAATCTCCAAATGTTAACCAAGCTAGAAACTCTCTGAACCCCCCATTCTTTTGGGTTTTTATGGAGGCTTCATTACATAGTCATGATTAAGTAAATTATTGGTGTTGGTGATTGATTCAACTTCCAGCCTCTACCCTCCCTGGATGTGTGTTGAGGGAGGGTGTTGGACTGAAAGTTCCAACCTCTAATCACATCGTTGGTTCCTCTGGCAACCAACCCCCCTTCTTAGACTACCTAGACACTTTCTAAAAATCACCTCATTAACATAGCAATAGATACCTTTGGAAATTTTCCAAAGTAAATTTCATTACTTTGGAAATTTTGAGAGTTTTAGGAGCTCTGTGCCAGAAATCTTTGAAGACCAAATATATATTTCTTTTATAAATCTAAACTTTAATTTACTCTCTGCTAGTCTGATAAGTGACTAGGGTAAAATGTAAATATCCATATGTAGGTATGTATAAATAATATTTTATAATTTTTTTTCTAGGTCTTTCCATTCATACTTTCCATGGGAACTTCTTTGTTCGGTCAACAGACTTACTGTCTTTGCCCAATGTAAATCCAGATGCTGGATATGCAGTACAGATGTCAGTGGAAGAGAGTCTTACTGACACTCAGTTGGTTTCCTTTCAGTCAGCACTTTTGTATACGTCCAGCAAAGGTGAGCATTGTGGCAAAAAGCACATAACATGAGATCTATCCTCTTAAATTTTTATGTGTACAACCCAGTATTGTTAACTGTAAGAACAGTGTAACAAAGGTAAGTTTTTTTTATTTGCTCATGTATTCTATGGCTTTTGATAAACTCCCTCTTTGGAGGTAATTACTCATTTCTATTAAGCCAAAACAATATTCCTTATCTTGAGTTTTATTGCTGTCCCTGGTAAAGCAAAAATGTTTGGTATTTTTTTTAAAAACCATTTTATTTAATAGGTATTTATTTAAAGTCTGCTAATGTCAGGCCCTGAAATAAGTTCTGATGACAAAATAGTCAATAAAACTCCCAGATTTCTAGATCAATCCCTGGTAGGGGGCATGTAAGAGGCAGCCAATCAATGATTCTCTCTCATCATTGATGTTTCTATCTCTCCCCCCTCTGTCTTCCTTTCTGAAATTAATAAAAATATATATTTTTTAAAATGACCAGAATAAATAAATAAATAAATAAAATAAAACTTGAGTTTTCACATTAACAAAGTTTTTTTATACTATTTTCTACTTACTATTTAACCCTATTTGTTTTAAATTGAAAAGAAGTGACTTTAGTATAAACTTAAAAAAAAAATTTATAATTGATTTTTAGAGAGAGAGTAAGGGAGAAGAAAAGAGAAACATTGATATGAGAGTGAAACATCAATCAGCCTCTTCCCCCATACCCCACACTGGGGATGTAACCTGCAACCCATGCATGTGCCCCAATTCCTGGCCAGGGCAATATAACCTTTTTAATGTAGTTGTCTCTTATTATCACTTTTGTGTTTTCTCAAAAGGTGAAAGAAGAATTCGTGTTCATACTTTGTGTTTGCCAGTAGTTTCAACACTGAATGAAGTTTTTCTCGGAGCTGATGTTCAAGCAATTTCAGGGCTGTTGGCCAATATGGGTAAGAATTGTTATCACCTATTGTAAATATTTTGCAGTTATAATAACATTAAAAAATCCACATTGTTTTACCCTTTAAAAAATATATGTGTGTGTGTGTGTGTGTGTGTGTGTGTGTGTGTGTGTATATATATATATATATTTTATTGATTTCAGAGAGAAAAGGAGAGGAAGAGAGAGAAACATCAATGATGTGAGAGAATCATTGATCAGCTGTTTTCTGCATGTCCCTTACTGGGGACCAAATCCACAACCGTGGCAGGTGCCCTTGACCAGAATTGAACTCGGGAACCTTTGTTCACAGGCTGATGTTCTATCCACTTAGCCAAATTGGCTAGGGCTAGTTTTATCCTTTTGATGTTGTTAATCTTCACCTGACGATATTTTTCTAAGATCTTTAGAGAGAGTGGAATGGAGGCGAGGAATGGAAGAGAGAGAAGAGAGAGACAAACATCGATGTGAGAGAGATACATTTATTGGTTGCCTCCCACATGCTGGGAATCAAACCTGGGACCCTCCTGTGCACAGGCCAGTGCTCTAACCATTGAGCCATTCGGGGGCAGGACTCTAACCATTGAGCAATATAGTTTTGTCTTTATTTAAATAATTAGCTTTAAGGTTTCAGTGTTTTGGATTCCATGTATACCTACTAAATGACTATTTGAATAAAGGATCTGCTCAGATAGCCTTATCTTTTAAATTTAAAAAGCTTTATTGAGATACCAGAGGCCCAGTGCATAGATTCATGCACTGGTGGGGTCTCTCAGCCTAGCCTGTGTCCTCTCACAATCCAAGACCCTTCAGGGGAATGTCAGGTAGCCAATTTCAGCCCAAACCCCACAGGCCCGATCCAGACAGGAGGGAGCCCTATCCTGTGTATTGAATGCTTGTCCCCTGGTGGTCAGTGAGTATCATAGTGATCAGTCAACCAGTCGTTTGGTCTCTTAGGCTTTTATATACAGAGATAGATAATTTATATACTCTATCACTTAACCCATTTTAAGTGTACAATTCCTTTGTTTTTAGTATATTTACAGAGTTATGTAACGATTACCTCAATCTAATTTTAAAATATTTCTATTACCCCTAAATGAATGTCATACCCATTAATAATTATTGCTGCCGAAACCAGTTTGGCTCAGTGGATAGAGCGTCAGCCTGCGAACTGAAAGTTCCCGGGTTTGATTCCGGTCAAGGGCTTGTACCTTGGTTGCGAACACATCCCCAGTTGGGGGTGTGCAGGAGGCGGCTGGTCAGTGATTCTCTCTCATCGATGTTTCTGACTCTCTATTCCTCTCTCTTCCTCTCTGTAAAAAAATCAATAAAAATATATTTTTTTAAGAAATATATGAGGATGTCTTAAATTGATAAAATGTTAGAGTTACTGTTGAGCAGATAGCAATAATCTTCATTTTTTCTTGCCTGTGTACAAATTTGGTCATAATGTTAATAACATTACTTGTGGTATATTTTTGGTGCCACATGCATTGAGTTTAGTTGTAGTTTGAGAGATTCCCTTCTATTCATTAAAGAGCTCTTAGAGAATTATTTTCATCATCTGTCATGCTATTCTGTTTATATGTTTAGTGCTTTCAGTTTTGAGTATTCAGGATGCATACTATACATATTTTTCTCTCAAGTCAATCAAAACTTACTTTTTCTATTCTGTGGAGTAAACTTCTATTTCGTTTTTTCTCTTGTCCCTGCTCCACCTCTGTAAGCTGTGGACAGGTCTGTGACTGCCAGTCTGAGTGACGCTCGGGACGCCCTCGTGAATGCCGTCATAGACTCTCTTTCAGCTTATCGCTCTTCAGTCCTAAGTAACCACCAGCCCGGACTCATGGTTCCTTTTTCGTTGCGGCTTTTCCCACTCTTTGTGTTGGCTCTCCTTAAACAGGTAAGAGAATCAAAACCAGAAACTAACGCAGTGAGAAGGTCAAAAGGCAAAATTTTTATCCTGTGAGTCCCTAAACAGTATATATATAATTTAATGCCAGCTAAGTTTTCTGACAGCTCTTAACACTGACATACCACGTTTTGTTTATTTTTTACTTCTCTCTTACTATGGTTTTTGTCCATGAGGACATAATTTTTATCTTTTTTGTTCATCACTTTAACCCAGCACCTACAACAGTTCCTAGTACACAGTAGGCATTCAGTAAATATTTTTTTTAAGTGAATAAATGGAACTTTCATTCTTCCATTCCCCATAGTACTCTTTCTTCTTTCCTAGAGACTGTTCACATACCAATTTATTTATTTATTTATTTATTTATTTATTTATTTATTAAATATATTTTTATTGATTTTTTACAGAGAGGAAGGGAGAGGGATAGAGAGTTAGAAACATCGATGAGAGAGAATCATCGATCAGCTGCTTCTTGCACACCCCCTACTGGGGATGTGCCCGCAACCAAGGTACATGCCCTTGCCCGGAATCAAACTTGGGACCTTTCAGTCCGCAGGCTGACGCTCTATCCACTGAGCCAAACCGGTCCTGGCTACCAATTTAAAATACCTTAACATTTAAAAGTCTTGCTTTATTTATAGTCAGTGCACTTGTTTTGAGGCATAATTTTTTAAAAATATATATATTTTATTGATTTTTTACAGAGAGGGCTCGAGAGTTAGAAACATCGATGAGAGAGAAACATTGATCAACTGCCTCCTGCACACCCCCTACTGGGGGGGGATGTGCCCACAACCAAGGTACATGCCCCCGACCGGAATCAAACCCGGGACCCTTCAATCTGCAGGCCGACGCTCTATCACTGAGTCAAACCGGTCTTGGCTGTTTTGAGGCATAATTTTATTACTATTACCTCTCTGCCTCTTTCTACTCCTTTCCATCACTAGGAAAGCTTAAAATGTTACCTCAAAACTTCATTATTCTCCATGAAGCTAATATGCCAGTTAAAAACTCACAATTACTCATTAACTCTATTCTGCTAAGTACTTGCCTTCATTTTTATTATTATTCTTCCTGTTGATACGTAAGCTTTGTACATGTTTTAATTTCTCTAACTGTGGGAGAAACAAGGATGGTTAAATACCATTAATCATCACCCTGCACTTATAGAACCCTTAGATCTTTGCTTCTTCAACTATACATTTAGTTTGTCATCTGTAGTATAACTTTATCCTTCTATCATAATATTTATTTCTATCTCATTATCGCTATATGATAGATAGTGTGTTTAGATCTATTTCAATGATTAGGAAACAGATACAAATTACTTTGCCAAGGATAGGTAATTATTTTCTGAAGACTTATAGGTGGGGATATATAGTTATAATTTAGTACATGTGTGTGACTTGTTGAAAGATTTTTCAGAAAATAATTAATAGCAAATTTTCTAATTTTGTCTGAAGATATTCTTTTAATAACTGATATTTGCAAAGTTTATATGTATTTTTTTAAATACTTTTTTTTTTTTTTTTTTTTTTTTGGTGGCGGTGGTTTTTCGTTACAGAAATCATTCCAGACTGGAACAAATGCACGTCTAGATGAACGCATTTTTGCTATGTGTCAAGTGAAAAATCAGCCCTTGGTTTACCTTATGCTCACAACTCATCCCAATTTGTATAGAGTTGACAATCTTTCAGATGAGGTAAGATTAATTCATTTTTTAAGTGGCTTTTACTTGCAGGTTTATAAACCAAATTATATTTAGTACATTGCAAAAATGAGGAAAGGTTTTGTTTGTTTGTTTGTTTGTTTGTTTGTTTGTTTGTTTGTTTTTTAAGCTTTTTATTCCTTTGGTAGGTCTGTGAAAATAAATTTTGGTTTTGGAGAGCTCCTAAAAATAGTGTCTTTATTTAAAGTTGCCTAAGACTAATCTCTAGAGCAGATCTATAATAAGTAAATGAAGAGATTGTCAAATTGACTGGAGAAATCTATGAGTTATTTATTTAATCAAATTGATATGAAAGGAGTATTCTGAGAATCAAAATAAAATCTAAATACCCAGGTCAGTGTTTAGTCTAACAGTGTTCTTAAATTAAAGAAAATATATTTATCTAAGTCGTAACATTTTTGTCCTTGATAGAAAATTTACCTGAGTTAAAGTCCCAAATATGAAAGTGTTAAATTGTAATCTTTCTTTTGAAAATTGTAATAAAGTTAGGATATATATGTTGGAAGTAAAATTTTGATTAAAACCTTTTGAAGTTTAAAGAATTTAAGATCTCTGGCATATAGAAAGGAGAAATTGCTTATGAAATTTGAGTTAATTTTAGCAAACGAAAACTATTGAGCCAGCAACAGAGGCTCAGTAGTTGAGTGTATACTGGTGTGCTTTTTTTATCCTCACCCCAGGATATTTTTTTCCATTTATTTCCTTTAGAGAGAAAATGGAAGGGAGGGAGGAGTGGAGGAAAGAAAGGGAAACATTAATATGAGAGAGACATATCAATTGGTTGCCTCGACCAGGGCTGGGGATCCAGCCTGTAACTGAGGCACGTGCCTTCTGTCTGGGAATTGAATCCACGACCCTTTGGTGTGTAGGTCAACACCTTAACCACTGAGAAAAATAATAATAATAAGTGATAAATATTTTGTTATCTTTTTAAACACGAATAATTATATTTTAAAAATTTTGGTCAATTGTGACTTCATATTACATGTATCTTTTTTTTTTTTTTTTTTTTAAATATATTTTATTGATTTTTGTACAGAGAGGAAGGGAGAGGGATAGAGAGTTAGAAACATCAATGAGAGAGAGTCATTGATCAGCTGCCTCTTGCACACCCCCTACTGGGGATATGCCCGCAACCAAGATACATGCCCTTGACCGGAATCGAACCCGGGACCCTTCAGTCCCCAAGCCGACGCTCTATCCATTGAGCCAAACCGGTCCCGGCTACATGTATCTTTTAAGAGCTTTATCTTTGTGTTTAATTCCTCAGGGAGCACTCAACATCAACGATCGAACTATACCTCAGCCACCTATTCTTCAGCTTTCAGTGGAGAAGCTGAGCAGGGATGGAGCTTTTCTCATGGATGCAGGCTCTGTGAGTAGCTGACTGATAGATCCTTCTGTCTGCCTATTACCGTACCTTCATTCCCCTTAATATCTTTCTTCTTGAATAGATTATATGCTATTTAATTTATATATATTTTTATTAGCCACCTTCTCCCTCCATAGCATCCTTTCATACCAAGCATAAAATGTCTCGTCTTAGTAAATAGTAGTCAGTTGAGGGCTAAACAGTATCATTAAACTTACTAAACATTTTGATCTTTTAAAATATACTCAAAGGTAAGGGTGAATCAACAACTCCTTTTTTTATTGAATTTATTGATGTGACATTAGTTAAAAAATTATGTTTTCAGATATACAGTTCTACAATACATCATCTTTATAGAGGAGCAAAATTAGATTTACAGTTGTTCGTATAGAAAATAATACAATAATTAATAAATAAAATTCAAGAATAAACTGTTTTGAGTATTCACAACTGTAAACCTACTTTTGCCCCACCCTGTATATTGCATTGTGTGTTTACCACCCAAGTCAAGTCTCCTTCCATCACCATTTATCCCTCCTTTACCTCTTCAACCTCCCCCCACTCCTTAACAGCTTACTCTTATGCTACATCTCAAAATGATTTTCTTTCTATCCCCAGGTACTGATGCTTTGGGTTGGAAAGAATTGTGGACAGAATTTTCTCAGCCAAGTTTTAGGAGTTCAAAGCTATGCATTAATTCCACAGACTATGGTAAGACTGTCTTATAGTGATTGGAATAGTCTTAAAGGGCATTTCAAATGTGGCAAAACATGAATACCCCATTTTAAAATCGTGATATACTAAAATTTTTTCCCAAAAAAGAAAACAAATTCTCTTCCAATCGAAAATACTCATTTTATGTTTTAAAGGCATTTTTAAGAATGTTTTTATTGACTTCAGAGAGGAAGAGGGAGAAGAGAAACATCAGCGATGAGAGAGAATCATTAATCAGCAGCCTCCTGTGCACCCCTTCTGGAGATTGAGCTCGAATCCTGGTCTTGTGCCCTGACCAGGAATTGAACTGTGACTTCCTGGTCATGGGTTGACGTTCAACCATTGAGCCACATTGGCTGGGCTTAAAAGCATTTTTTAGGTTATTTTATCATTGACTTATTTTTTTTAATATATTTTTATTGATTTCAGAATGGAAGGGAGAGGGGGAGAGAGAAAGAAACATTAATTATAAGAGAGAGAATCATTGATCACTGCTTCCTGCATGCCACCTCCCTGGAGACTGAGCCCACAACCTGGCATGTGCCCTTGACTGGAATTGAACCTGGGATCCCTCAGTTCACAGGCTAACATTCTATCCACTGAGCCAAATAGGCTAGGGCTGAGTTATCTTTTTTTTTTTTTTTTTTTTTATAGAGAGGAAGGAAGAGGGATAGAGAGCTAGAAACATCTATGAGAGAGAAACATCGACCATCTGCCTCCTGCACACCCCCTACTGGGGATGTGCCTACAACCAATGTATATGCCCTTGATCAGAATCGAACCTGGGACCTTTCAGTCCACAGGCTGACCCTCTATCCACTGAGCCAAACCGGTTTTAGCTTGACTTAACTTTTTAAAATATTTTTTTTTAATTTCTCAATCACAGCTCACATACGACATTTCATTAGTTTCAGGTGTACAGCATAGTGATTAGATATTTATATAATTTACGAAGTGATCATCCCGATGGCTTATTTATTCCTGTCTGTCTGAGAGTATACTATTTTTTCAGAAAGGAATGAACTTAGTTGATGGCACAAAAATAACAAAGTGTTATGGACACTTAATTTCATTGTTCTTTGGCAGGATTCTTTTAATTGCTGCTTTGGAGTAAGAACTAAGCTAATTTCACATAAGCAAATGACTTGTGATCAGTGTCAGTTGGATTACTGTTGATTATTGAAGAGAATAATAATGGACTATCACTAACTCTGTAACCTTGGACAAGTAACTAACAGCCTCATTTGTAAAATAAGTGCTGTTGCTTATAGAAGTGTAATTGAGATGATTCATGAGAAAGCATTTGTTAAACTATATTGCATTTGGATAGTTTTATATTGAAAAGAGATAACAAATTATAACATGGTCTTACTTAATGTCCTATTTTTTGGTCCCCATCATTTTGTCAGAAACTTTGTGGGGTTTTTAAAATATATTTTTATTGATTTCAGAGAGGAAGGGAGAGGGGGAGAGAGAAACATCAATGATGAGAGAGAATCATTGTCTGGCTGCCTCCTGCACACCCCCTACTGGAGGGACGGGGGATTGAGCCTGCAACCCCAGCATGTGCCATTGGCCGGAACTCTTCAGACCACAGATTGACACTATCCACTGAGCCAAACCAGCTAAGGCGTTGTCAGTAACTTTGGAATATGTGTTTTATGTCAGCATTTTTTCCTACTTATGGTTTAACTCCATTCAAAAAAGTTAGTAGGAGATTCTTGTATTTAAAAACATGTGAAGATTATAGCTAGGATTAGCACTTGCTTTCAGACTTTGAGTAAAACTACTGGTCTGAATAATTAGATATTTTAATGAGAAGATAAGAAATTGTTGCATCTGTGACAAATGCCTAATGAATCAATTCATTCTAAATGTCATAATAAAATGAAGAGAAGAATTAGGGTGTTCTTCTAGATAAGGGCTAAACAAAGTATTAGTAAGGGGGTCTGCTACCAATAAAGTTTTATTGGATCATAGCCATATCCATTCACTATGTATTGTCTATGGCAACTTTAGTGGAACAATGGCAGAATTGAATAGTTGCAATAGAGACTAAATGACCTGCAAACCTAAAGTATTTACTGTCTGGCTCTTCAAGAAGTTTGCCCACCCCTTAACAAGGAAATTGTGGTATGCAGAATCTCAGGCCCTCCCCAGATCTCCTAAATCAATATCTGCAGTTCAGCAAGACCTTCAGGTGATTTATATACAGCTGTCCCCCATTTACCTATGGTTTTGCTCTCCGCAATTTCAGTTACCCACTTACAAACACTGGTTGAAAATATTAATAAAAAGTTCCAGAAATAAACAATTTATAAGTTTAAAATTGTGTGTTGTTCTGAGTCGCATGATGAAATCCTACACTATCCCTTTCTATTGCCAGGAATGTGAATCATCCTTTTCCAATGTAACCACACTGTATACACCATCTGCCCATTAGACATTTGGCAACTGTATCAATTATCAGATCAACTGTCCGGGTATCAGAGTGCTTGTGTTCAAATAGCTCATTATTTTACTTAGTTATGACCCCAAAATGCAAGAGCAGTGATGCTGGCAATTTGGATATGCCAAAGATGAGCCTTAAAGTGCTTACTTTAAGTGAAAAGGTAAGTATGTGTATATAGGAAAAACATAGGGTTCAGTACTGTCCATGATTTCAGGCATCCATCACGGGTCTTGGAATGTATCTCCCATGGGGGAGAGGGGAGCTGCTGTACATGATAAAGTTTAAGAATCACTGTAGATGATATATTAGATATGACTAGAGTAAGATATTGTTGGCTTTTGTTTAACAGACAGATCTTCCAGACCTTGATACCCCAGAATCTGCCAGAACTATAGCTTTCATATCTTGGCTTAGAGAACAAAGACCATTTTTCCCAATACTTTATATAATAAGGTAAGTTGAATTTGCTAATATGAACCAGTTTGTTTGGCCTTGCAACGACTTGTTTTGACATAAATACATTCCTTAAGCAAACCATTTAGAAGAATCTATCCTATATAATAAAACCTAATATGCAAATCAACTGAATTGCAGAACAACCAGTCGCTGTGATGTGCACTGACTACCAGGGGGCAGACACTCAACACAGGAGCTGCCCTCTAGTGGACAGTGCACTCCCACAAGGGAAGTGCTGCTCAGCCAGAAGCCGGGTTCATAGCTGGCAAGTGCAGCAGCGGTGCGAGCCTCTCCCGCCTCCACAGCAGCACTAAGGACCCCCTCGGGATGTCCACCTGTTGGCTTAGGCCTGCTCCATGGGGATGGGGCTCCCTCCTGTCTGGATCGGCCCGCTCCATGGGGATCGGGCTCCCTCCTGTCTGTGGGGATTGGGCCGAAACCAGCTATCCAACATCCCTCGAGGGATCCCTGACTGTGAGAGGGTGCAGGACAGGCTGAGGGACTCCACCAGTACATGAATCTGTGTAGCAGGCCTGTAGTATTAAAAAAGAAAAAAAAAAAGAAAAAAAAGAATTTCAAACATTACTAAATGATGCTTTATCAGTTATTAATAAAAATATGTCAAAAGCTTTGTGATAAATCCAGTGTTTATTTTACTATTACATTTTATCTAATGCATATAAATATTTTTCTTTTATTCTTAAGGGATGAGAGTCCAATGAAAGCAGTTTTCCTTCAAAACATGGTAGAAGACAGAACAGAATCTGCATTTTCATATTATGAATTCCTCTTGCATATACAACAGCAAGTGAATAAATGAACCAATGAAGATATTTGACTCAGTTATTTCTAAGGAAAGTCACAATAATGCAGAATACCCGAGAATGTGTAATATTTTCCTTTTATTAGGTTTGTGGACTGATGTGATGATTATATGTTCTCACTGTGATTTCAACAAAATATAGCAAATAAAGGACCACAGCAGAGAATCAAACATGCAACTCTGAAATACTGTATTTTTCAAATCAAAATATATCTGCATATGATTAGACACCTTTTTTCTTTGCTGCCAATTATGTTTGAGTTGTTATGGATTGCAATAAGATGAAACAACATTGCAGAGGCAAAGTAAATTTTGTAAAATAAAGACTTCTGTGTTCCAAATATATTTCTGTTTTTTTTCCCCTCCCCTCCTTAATTTTTGACTGCTACATTTAAAACCTCACAAGACTAAGTGTTGCAGAGAATTATAAATTCACTGATAATGATCTTTCTTAAATTAAAAAAATTTTTCATAAGTAAATAGTATATAGAAAGACTAGAATCCATTCCCCCATACGTGTTTTTTTAACTAAATTAAAACTCTAGAGTAAGCTAACTCTGGTCTAGCTTAAGAAGAAGAAATAACTGTCAAGCTTTATATAAATAACTGTAAATCTGTCAGTATTCTCTATACTTGAACAAAATCACCTTGATTTTAAATGAAAACTAATTAAGTCATTTTCTGATTGGCTGCAAAAGACTAGGACACACTATCTTCTGCAGTGAAAAGAATCTGAGCTGTCCTCATGAAATACGTTGGGACTGGCAATGATAATAGGGAGGTGATCCCTAGAGTGGGTTTTGTCTGTCTGCTCTGTGAAATGTAATAAAGGTGTTATGTTGGTGAAATGAATATGAATGAAATTAAAGTACTATTCTTAAATGCTGTCTCAAATGCATCAGGATCATTTTTCTAAGGAGTTTAATAATTAAATTGAAAGCCGCTCATAAGGTGTTTATTCTTGGATAGTAAAACTTATTAAAGCATGAATGCTGCTTTTTAATTTAATGGATATTAAGATGACACATATCCAGTATATTGAAGTTTGAGAGAAACTTGATTTCTAAACATGCTCAAAAGACTGCTTTTTTGATTCAGCCAGATAAATATTATAATCAAAACCATTAAGTGAATTTTGTTTACAAATAGGTAAATTATACATTTGTATATTTAAAGTGATATGATAGAATATCTTAAAGGAGTTTAGCCCAGTTTTCCCAATTCATCTTGTCTTGTATGAACTTCTTAAAGAGGTTCATGGATAATACTTGATGAAGAGATTTTTGTGTTTTTTTTGTTTTAATGGGTTAGAAAAAAATGTGTTTACAATCTTGGTCTCATATGATCACCAATAAAATAATAACTATCAGGTTTACAGCAATATGAGCTGACTTTAACTGAGTTGCTTTGGGATAGGGAAGAAGCAAGTCCCTCTAGAGTATACACTACTATTTATCAGCCGGACAAAAATAATTGTTTCTGTTTTATAAAGATATCATCTCCCTTAAGCAGTGTTATAGTTTATTTTCAGTATGCAAGTGGTACATTGAACTGGAAATATTCTTGAAAGCTGCTTCATTTATTAGGAAGCAATTTTCAAAGTGTAGCAAATTAAAATAAATTCATATTTTCCCTCTTTTAAAGAAACTGAGTCATTATTATGCACTGATGTTTCTTAACTAAAATTCTCTTCTTAATGTGAATTTTAAATGTTGATATTTGTAAATCCTTTCTTAATTGTAGTAAAGAATCTTACAGAGGGAAGAGTTTGTGCTTCTAGGGACAGTAATCTTGTGCCTCACTTTATCCCTAAGTGGGTATGGCTGTTGTTACTACTACATGTTTTGTCAGTATATTTCACAAATTTGCTTTTCAAAATTTACTTTAAAAGTTTATTTTAGATATTGTGTAACGTGCAATCTAGAATAATTTTATAATAGTCAGGTCATAAAAATTTTAACTTTAGTTAGGATTCACATTATTCTTTGGAAAATGAGGCAATGAATGAACCTTTTGGAGATATTGATAATTAAGAATTATTTTTTGCAATATTGAACATGGTGGGGGTGGGTTTTTTTGTTTTTGTTTTGCAGTAGGGCACTTATCTCATCTTGTATTACTTTTTTATGTAAAGCAACTAATATTTACACTATGCCATATTTTTTTTATCGTAGTTGTAAATTATGAAAGATCCTTGAATTTTCTACAGATCTACAACTACTAAACTGACAAAGGGCAATCTTGGTATTTAAATCAGCATGGCAATTCTACCATAAAAAAGTACTCTATTTTTCTAATTTCTAGGATTTTTAAAATAACATTTCTGTAAGTCTGACATTAATATTTACTCAAGCTGTACCATTTATTTTAGTTTGCATATATTTTATTGTTTTAATTTAATGTATTGTCTAATATACTGTTTTATAATAATTAGAATAAAAGATTTATTCTAATCAAATACACAAAACAGCTATTATCTAGGGGACCACCAAATGTGATTTCAAGATTTTGTTAACTAGATATTACAAATATAATCCTTATATAGAAATTTTAATTTTGTAAAGTAGTGTATAATATTGTAACATTAAATTTTTGTTCTCAAATTCAAATATGTGTTGACCTTCATTGTGCTGTGTTAAATCTTGCTTCTCTAAAATCTTAGAGACAAGATTTGTCTTCCTTTTTACAGTTTGTAATTTTCACTGTTTTATTCCTGTAAAAAAAAAGAAGTCATTTGTAACCCATGCAATCGTTTGAACTGTGCTAATTTAATCAATTTGGCGATTCAATAAAGTTAATTGAAAGAGCTTACATATAGTGACTAGTTATTTAAAGTAATTTGAATAATTTGCCAATCACTAAGTAGTGCTACGTTGTGCATCAAAGTTAGTGGGGAAATATTGCTGAAGATGTTTTAAATCTAAGTCACTGTCTGGGAGGTTATAAACCAAATTCTTGATGCTCACTCCTCACTGTAGCTAAATTCTAAATTGAAAGGGTTTTTTTTCCTATTGTAAATACTACTCCGTTGACTTATGGATCCTGTTGTTACTGATAAGCTGCTTTCTGTCCAATCGTTTATTTGAGGATAATGTTAGCTTTTAATATATTTTTTTTAATTCTTAATCTTTAGTTTCACTACTCTTGAGTTTCCTCAGTATACCCCCAGCCTTTTGTATACCCCTAGCCTGCATTGCCTGTAAACTATCCATTTTGCTTACCCATTCTTATCTCTTTGCCTACTTTCCCATGTAATTTTTGTCTTTCCATCCAATATAAGCAGCTCGCTTATGAGGGGAGGGGGAAGCAGATTTTGTAAATGACGTGCTGCTCTCCCACACTGCCAGCATTATTGGAATAAACGCTCATGTATGATTCAACCCTCTAATTGGCTCAAGTAGTGACAGGCAAGCCCAGAGTCATTGATTGTGCAATTTCTCTAAGAGGGATTGATTTTGAGATGATTGTGCAGCTGGCTACATTGCAGGGTAGCCCACTAGGATGCCTCAACCTCTGAGGCCTCTTTATTTACTCATTCACTTAGTCATTGCTGAACTCCAGGGCTCTATTTGTAGGCCTTATGCACTTTGTTTTTGTGGCCTTCTTCCTCCATAAAAGTGTATTCAAAATTATATATTACTAGAGGTCCAGTGAATGCAGTTCGTGCATGGCGGGGGTGCCTGTACCCTCTCAAATCCGGGATCCCTCGGGGGATGTCTGACTGCCTCTGAAATCCAGGACCACTGGCTCCTAACTGCTCAACTGCCTGCCTGCCTGCCTGATTGCCCCTAATCCCTTGCCTGCCTGCCTGATCACCCCTAACCACCTCTGCCTGCCTGTCTGATCACCCCTAACTGCTCCCCTACCAGCCTAATTGCCCCTAACTGCTCCCCTATTGGCCTGATCACCCCTAACCTCCTTTGCCTTGCCCCACACCTGGGACCCAGGATTTCCTCCTCTGGCTGGCCACAGGCACTCAGGATTCAGGCTGGCTTTGCCCAGGGCAGCTGCAACCACAGGGGACCATGGGTGGACAACTTGTCCCTCTCCCGGTCCTCAGCCTGGCTGGTCCCCATTCCTCTCTCCCACTGTTGAGTGAGCTGTTAGGGCATGATGGGGTTAAGCCATTTGCATATTAGCTCTTTATTATATAGGATGACTTGGAAAATAAAAACTATAATCCAGACTGGATCCATTATTACATATTAATTACTATTACACATTTTTCTTGATTTTTAAAGAAATTAAAATGTCCTTGCTCTGGCCAGTTTGGCTCAGTGGATGGAGTATAGTCTGTAGCCTTAAAGGTCCAGGGTTAGATTGGGTTGCAGGCTCAATACCCAGTGGGAGACATGCATGAGGCAGCCAATTAGTGATGCTCTTTTATCATTGATGTTTGTCTCTAACTCTCCCTTCCTTTCTAAAATCAATAAAAATACTAAGGAAACACACACACACACACACACACACACACACACACACACACACACACACATTTTTTTGGGCCCCTAAAACTATTGTGGCCCCTCAAAACTGCATAAATTGGTCCTGCTGAGCGCTCACACTGTTCTAGGATTTTATAGCCTTGAACAAAACACAGGACTTGTCTTCACGGAGAAAAATACAATCAAGTAAGCACATAAATTTAGTTTGCAAGTCGGTCTTAAAGGAGAAAAAGGCAGTCGTTTATGGGATAGTCGTTTCATAAATTATATAAATGCCTAATAACTATGTGTAGCTGAAACATAAATAATATTGTTTTTCAGCTGTAATTGAATAGTTATTATTATTTTTTTTAAAGAAGAGGAAGTGTTGAGAGGCGGTGGCAAGGCTGGGACTGGGAAGGTTCTCCAGGGAAAGCCTAGAACAAAGACGAGAGGGAAGACCGGACCAAACCAGGCGTATTTGGGCTAAAAAGAAATCCCAAGCGCCCAGCTCCCTAACGCGTCGCTCCCAGAGTTACGTATTCCCGCGCCCTATAAGCGAGCGACCGAAGGTCGGTGGAAACCAGTGTCTCCATTTTGCTTCCTGGCACCAGATCTGCGACCGATGAGCATAGTTCTCACTCCCGTTCCTTTCCCGCCGGTCAGGCTGGGTGGCGATTCTCCTCACCTCTGTGGGCTGCAGAGAGGCCCGGATGGCCGGGGAGTGAAACCGCGAAGGCCAGCAGAGGAGGCCGGCTGCCCTCATTCAAGATGGCGGCGCCGGCCTCCGCCGGGCAAGGGGCGTGCGCATGCTCAGTCCGTCGCCTCCAGCCCGGCGCTGGGGGGCGGGTCTGCGGTGAGAGGGGCACGCGCGCCGGCGGCCGGGCCTGAAGTCATCGCCGCCGCCGCCGCCGCCGCCTCCAGCGCTGCCATCGCCGCTCCCAGATTGTGGAAGGGAAGATGGAGCCCATGGCCATCCCTACGGAGGACAGCGGGGAGCGGCCCGGGGCCCCGGTTGGCGCTGGCCTGTCGGCTTCGCAGCGCCGGGCCGAGCTGCGGCGGAGAAAGCTGCTCATGAACTCGGAGCAGCGCATCAACCGGATCATGGGCTTTCACAGGCCCGGGGGCGGCTCGGGTGAGAGGCTCCGTCCCCCCTCGGTGTCCCGCCCGCCCTTTTCACATACATTATACCCGGGGGCTACTGGGGTCAGTCTTCAGGGCTGTCCTGTTCCCGCTCCGCCCCGCGGACCTCTCCGATCGCGCCCTGCTGCCCTCTGTCCCAGTTCTTGGGGTAACGTCCCGGGTTCGCACTTGTTCACCCCCTTCTTGCTGCTCTTCTCTTCCCGGGGCTTCGCCCAGAGGCTGTCCCACTCGCTCCGGAGTCCGTCCGCCTGGTGTTCCTGCCCGGGTTCCCGAGGCCCCCTCTGCCGTCCCTGGCCCCCGCCTCCGGAAGGCGCACACGGTGCCCCCAGGCGTCTGCTCTGCCCTGTGCCCAGGGCGGCCTCACTGCGCCTTCCCGGCGCCCGCCTTCCTTTGCTGTGACTGTCGGCCCGCAGGAGCTTGTCTTCACCCGGCTGCCCTCTAGTCCTCTCTACGCGGATCAGGGACTTTTACAGTTTGTGTTCAGTGGCCTCAGCATTTCATCCACAGGTCTTCTAAAAAACTGGGGCCACCGTTCATTTAAAAAAAAAAAAAAAAAAAAATATATATATATATATATATATATATTATTGATTTTTTACATAGAGGAAGAGAGAGAGAGAGAGAGAGAGAGAGAGAGAGAGAGAGAGAGAGAGAGAGAGAGAAGAGAGAGAGAGAGAGAGAGAGAGAGAGAGAGAGAGAGAGCGCGCGAGCAGAAACATCAATCAGCTGCTTCCTGCACATTCCCCACCGGGGATGTGCCTGCCACCAAGGTCCATGCCCCTGACCAGTATCAAACCTGGGACCCTTGAGTCTGCAGGCCTATGCTCTGTCCACTGAGCCACACCGGTCAGGGTGCGACCATTCTTTATAGACCCAACAAGTGGGTCGGTCGTGCTCGCCGCCAGAGGTCTCTCCCAGCGTGCTGAGATTGAAGCGATGCCATGAACTGCCTTGAACCCTAAGGAGAGTTCCTCATTTCTCCCCCAGTGACATGTACAATGAGTTTCTTTAAAACATGTTTTTGTGACTGTTTATTTTATGTGAATATTTATTGAACACCCAGTATGTGCTAGTGTTCTCTAACTTTCCGTGGAGTATTGCCTTTAGTAGCTGGCTATGGTTGCAAGCTCTTTAGATCTTTGTGACTGTTGTTTGGTAGGGCTTTAGATATGGGTATAGTTCTGAACTTAAGGTCTGCAGCTGAAAACTACCAAGAGGAGGTAAGAGAACTATTTCAAATTCTCCTGCAACAGTAACTAGGCAAATAGTTACAAAACTATTTCTTCCTTTAATGATTAATAGAATGTTTATTCTTTCCCCGAAGCATTCACTATCTTCCTTGAAGTGTACATTCCGTATTTTGTTCTTTTGCTTTGCAAATGTTATCTGTCATTAAGGTTTTGCTTTGTCTAAAACCGGAACAGCATCTTAAAGTGGCTTAAGTACCTACTAATGGCTCCCTGACTACAGTAGAAGGATTACGTAAACAGTAGCTGTAAGATGTGCCACACCCTATGCTGATAGGGCTCTGGATTCAGAAATATAATATTAAAATATAGATTTTTGAAAGCTTTAATAATTTTCTATTTTTAACCAAAGAAGCTAGAGCAGGCAATGCAGCTATATTTTAGGGATGTATTATCCATTAAAACTTGGTCTTTATAATTTATTTTCTCTCTGCCTATCTTTTCCAATATTTTTACTAGCCCTAAAGTTTGTATTATATTCTCTGCAGGAATACCCTTAATGGGTAATATATTTTGAAGGTGTAAGAGGGAAACTATTTATGCAAAGTCAGTATTAACTTAGATTCAGAGTTCTAGCTCAATGCATTTTTTAAAATATTACTACAAGCGGTGTTTACCTACAAGGTTTCTAAATTTCTTTTCTTAGAAGAAGAAATACAAACAAAATCAAAGCAACAGGACAGTGATAAACTGAACTCCCTCACCATTCCTTCAGTCTCAAAGCGAGTAGTGCTGGGTGATTCCGTCAGTACAAAAACGACTGACCAACAGAGTGGTGTGGTGGAGGTAAAGGGAGCTGAGCTGGGAGACAAATTGGACTCTTTCATTAAACCACCCGAGTGCAGTAATGACGTAAGCCTTGAGCTCCGGCAGCGGAATCGAGGGGACTTGACAGCAGACACTCTCCAGAGGGGTCCTCGCCATGGCCTGGAACAGTACCTCTCCAGATTTGAAGAAGCAATGAAGTTAAGGAAACAACTAATTAGTGAGAAACCCAATCAAGAGGAAGGAAATTCAACAGAAGAATTTGACTCTTTCCGAATATTTAGATTGGTGGGATGTGCTCTCCTTGCCTTTGGAGTCAGAGCTTTTGTTTGCAAATATCTGGTAAGAACTATAATGGAAAAATGAAAATTAGTCATAGTAATGAGTGTTTTTGATCCACAGAATTCATTGCCAATATTAACTTAATATTTGCCTGATTCACAGGGATATTTGGAGAGTTATTATAAACTGCTATTCACCCTGGTTATAGAATGAGGAATTCTGGTTAAAACAGAGCCTGATAATAATTATTAAATTCCCCTATATATAGGTGCCATTCTAAGCGATTTATATATGTTGATTCATTTAACCTCATCCTCATGAATCCTTTGTTTTATAGATGAGGAAATGAAGACTCAGAGTGGTTAAATCATTTGTCCAGTACCACACAGCTCTTAAATCACAGCTGGGATTAACCCCAGGCAATTCCGTTCTAAATAAAGTACCCTTGACCAGGAATTGAACCCTAGACACTTCGGTGCATGGGCCAATGGCTCTACCTATTGAGTAATAGGGTGAATACTTCCAAGTTATTTTATTTTTTACTTTTTTAAAAATATATATTTTTATTGATTTCAGAAAGGAAGAGAGAGAGAGAAACATCAATGATGAGAGAGAATCATCAATCGGCTGCCTCCTACACACCCCCAGAGTATCAAGCCTATAACCTGGGCATGTGCCCTGACCCAAAATTGAGACCTGACCAGAAATCATACTCTGACCTCCTGTTTAATAGGTCAAGACTCAACCACTGGGCCATACTGGCCAGGTGCCTTAAGTTTTTTAAAAGATAAGTTTTTATGAGGGAAGACATTTTGGGGGATATTAAAGAGAATGACTTGAGCCTGGCCAGTGTGACTCAATGGTTGAGCATTGAGCCAAGAACCAAGAGGCCGCCGGTTTGATCCTGATCAGGGCACATGCCCAGATTCTGGGCTCAATCCCCTGGGTGGGAATAGGGAGTGTTTGCAAGATGCAACTGATCAATGATGTTTCTCTTAGTGATGTTTCTATTTCTCTATCCATCTTCCTTTCTCTCTCTCTCTAAAAAAATCAATACACTGATTTTAAAAAACTGTATTAAAAACAAAACAGAATTTGAGTGACTTGACTTGAGAAAAATGTTTATGATAAATCAATTTCTTTTATTTTCTTCACTGTTCTACAGAAATAAGACTTCTTTCAACTGCTAAAATTAAATATTTTATTAGTTTTGTTACTTAAAATTTATAGCTGCTATTAGTTTGATTTGTGATTTGAATGATTATGTTGGAAATATTTAATTGTATCTTCTGTCTTCACAGTCCATATTTGCTCCATTTCTTACTTTACAACTTGCATACATGGGACTATATAAATATTTTCCCAAGGTAAATCACATTTTTTTCTAAATTATGGTGTTGTGTTTAGATTGATTAATGATTAGATAATCTGAAATTTTTAAAAAAAATTTGTTATACTTATGATCTGAATCACTGCTGCTCAAAGTGTGATTGGCTACCAATCAAACTCTTTGTTCTGTTTGTAATGAGGGAAGTTCAGAAAGTGAGTAGACACTCTATAGCATTTGGACATTGCCATAACATTATCATATTTTATAAAAATGTTGGTCCACCATGGATTGGGAGGAAAAAAACCTCAAGACAGACTTCAAATATTACACATATATAAGTGTTCAATTTTATTATTTAGTAAAGATTTAGTAATACATTTTGTTTATGATAAAGGACATTAATTTTAAAATGGGTTCAGTTATGGTACTATGCACCTTAGTGGACACTTAATAACAATGCAGTTGGACTTTAATGTCAAGGGCTTGCTATTTGCAAGAAATATTGGCCAAAATTGCAGGACAGAATCATTGGGAGTGTCAGTGTTTACCTGGTCTACTTGACTACAAATGTATATACACAGTTTTATGGGACTTGAGTTGGCTGGCATAGAAGATTGATTCCAGACTTCTGCTATTGCAAAACTACAATCAATGTTTCAAGGGTAGGTTTCTAAACAAGTTATTTTAATAAAATTATACCTTTAGAATATTTGAGATCTCACTCCCTGGCATATGTTGTCAATTTGACCCAAACTCTTATAAAAATTTTAAAAAAAATTACACCTTTGGGGAAAGAGGTCAATACTAGGTAAATATACATCTGTAACATCAAGAATAATTTTAATTAAAAATAACATTTCTTTTACTCCTTTATTTTGTGTATTTGACCTATTTGGCTTATTAAATATATAAACGTTTTATATCCATAAAAAAATATGAGGTCTATCAGTGCATTACAAGCACCTGAGGATTTTTTCCATTGCTTTTCAGAGAGATTGGAAGGTAGGGAGGGAGATGGGGAAGAGAGAGAGAGAAAGAGAAACACCGAAGTTAGAGACACACACAGACTGGAGTCTCCCCTACTCTGAGCCCAGGTACAATAATAGGTGCCTTTGACCAGGAATGGGACCCGAGACTTTTGGGTGTGCAAGCCAACACTCTAACCAATGAGCAAAACCAACTAGAGCTGTCCTATCTTTTTTTTTTTTTTTAATGTTCATTCTTTTTTTAAATACATTTTATTGATGTTTTACAGAGAGGAAGGGGAAAGGGATAGAGAGTTAGAAACATCAATCAGCTGCCTCCTGCACACCTCCTACCGGGGAAGTGCCTGCAACCAAGGTACATGCCCTTGACTGGAACTGAACCTGGAACCTTTCAGCTTGCTGGCTGACGCTCTATTCACTGAACCAAACCGGTTAGGGCTGTCCTATCTATTTTTAACTTGATAGCAAGAATGGTATCTTTCTCCCTGCCTCTTAGCATTTTACTGCTTTACATATTATATGCTCAGTTAATGTTTATAATGCTTGTTGATATATTACTGATTGATATTTTGAAACTTCATTAACAGTTTTGAAATCAGGCAAAAATAGCACTGATAATACTTTTATAGAGTTTAAGTTGTCTTCTGAAAGCTATAGGATTTATTTGTCTTTCTGTATACAGAGTGAAAAGAAGATAAAGACAACAGTACTAACAGCAGCGCTTCTATTATCTGGAATTCCTGCTGACGTGATAAATCGGTCAATGGATACCTATAGCAAAATGGGCGAAGTTTTTACAGATCTCTGTGTCTACTTTTTCACCTTTATCTTTTGTCATGAACTGCTTGAGTATTGGGCCTCTGAAGTACCATGAAGCCTGCAGAACTCAGGAGAAGCTTACAGAAAACCAATTTCTCTCACATTGCAGTGTCTTTACAGGAGACAAATCGGGTTACATCTTTATGAAATTATTTTACTTTGTAGGGGTTGTAGAACGACTTGATTTGGAATGAAATGGCAGATTCTCTTACTTAAAAGCATTGAGTTTGTATTAATACTGATGTGAAGAATAGAGTACTAATGTCATTAACTGATTTTTCTTGTTTAATTAAAATCCCTAGTCTGAATCTTTCCCTAACTTCTAAGATTTTATGTCGGCAGAGAAACAAGGTCTCAGCTAGCCCTTTGTAACTGGGGACTGTGTCATGTATTTGGTGTTCTTTCCTGAGAAATGATGCCATTTTAAAAATAAAATGAAAGAAACTGAATTTTCTAATGTTAAGTGTGCACATTTTAATTTATAAGAGCCGAATAAGGTAGCCAATTGTATCTTTTGTTGAGTCAGTATCTATTTTTAAAAATAATTTTATCTTTGTTGTTGAAGGTGTTGAGAGTCAGTATTTTAATCCTTACTCCACTGCAAGCATTGTAATGGAGAAAGGATTAAGATTCATATATGTGAAATTAGAAAGTATTTATGAAATCTTTATTTTTATTTATGAAAATTTTTTGTTGTCCTAGCCAGTGTGGTTCAGCTGGGGAGGAGGTGGCTGAAGGATGTTTTACTGTCACACATCCATGTTTTTCTCTCTAAAAATCTGAGAATTGGAAATTTTCACTTTTGAGTTTTCAATTTTTAAAAGTATGTTTTTAAAGCAAAGTAGTCTAGAATGGTTAGATATAAAAGTGGAATTTGAAAAGTTGACTGAGGTTTGAAACTCAATAGCATAAATGTTTAAAGAACTTGGTAACACTCATATTTATAAGGTTTGTCTTAAATGAGTATAAAATGTGTTATATTGCTTGGTATACATTTCCTTACAGATTTTTGTATGGTGTATTTAGTTAATCCTTGTGATATTAAAAACATCTGTCCTTTTTCATTATTACAGTCTTGATTTATGTCATTTTATTTTGAATCAGAATAATGTAGAATAAGTATAATTTAAGTCTAATCCTCTGACTTAAGGTAAGATTACAAGCACACATTTTTTTCCTGATTCCATAATGAATCTAGTATCCAGAGGTTTGGAAAGCATCCCTGATTTGCCAGGTCCCCCTCAATCTCTGAGAAGACACCAGTGTAGAGGGCCGGCTGAGAAGGCACATGGACATTCTTTAAATTGTCAGCTGAGCCCGAGGCACTGGCAGAGTACCTTTGTCCAGGTGTCAGCAGGGGCGGGTCTAGATATGTAAATCCAGTAATGCTAGAGCCTAGTTAAGAGTGCAAACAAGCTCCCTGGACCCTATAAATAAATCTGCTTTTGGGGTCATTTAGCAACTTAACACTTGATAAGTTTTTGAAATTAGAGATCATTATCAAATTTTTCTTTTAAAGAGAAGAGCTGTAAGATACCGGTGTTTGTTGATGCCACTTTAAGCGTGGTGAGTAGTATTGAATGAAAATACATATGTATTTGTTTTGGAATAATTAAAAAAATTTCTTTGGAAATTTCAGGGATTTGATATGTATATGGCTTAAAACTGGATTGATTAAGATGGTTGTTCAAAGGTGACATCTTCGATTAGTGTAAATGGAGGTGTGCACCATTCGGTTCTAAATACAGCAAGAGGCTTATGAGATATTCGGAATTGGGTTAATTAGAATCAACATGAGCTTTGGAAGCCGGGGCAGTTTGCTAAAAGGGTTGTATTGGAGACATATTGGACTGTAATTACAAGTCTGCCTTGGAGATGTTGCATGTCTGGTTCCAGACAACCACAAAAAAGTGAATATCAAGTGCATCAAAAGAATTTTTTGATTTCCCAGTGCACACAAAATTTATGATTACACTGTAATCTATTACGTGTGTAGTAGCATTATGTCTAAAAAGCACTGTCCATGCCTTAATTTAAAAATACTTTAGCCCTGACCAGTTTTTTCAGTGGTTAGAGCATCTGCCCACAGACTGAAGGATCGCAGGTGCAATCCTGGTTGCAGGTTCCCCAACCCCAGTCAGGTGCATGTGGGAGGCAACCACTCAATGTTTCTTTCACATTGACGTTTCTCTCCCAGTCTCTATTCCTCCCACTCTCTAAAAATCAATGGAAAAAAAAAGATCCTGGGTGAGGATTAACAACAACAAAAACTTTATAGGAGCGCACTTTCCACCAAAGACTGAAGACTGTTTCCCCAGATGGAGCTGAAACATGAAAGATATTTTGCCAGAGCAGACTGGCGCAGGCCGGTGCAAAGCAAGGGAGAATGGAATGGACCATGAGGAGTGGAGCTGAAGAGGCCCTGGCCCCAGCACAGCCTCACATCCTTGCAGGACAGTAGCACCATAGCACCATTGAGGTGTTCCCCAGCGCTGCCGGCACCGCCATGCTGTATTACCTTTGAGCTGTTGGCACTAAAAACGTCCTTCTTCACCCCAAGTTGGGGATTCCTGTTGGTGTTGAATTGGCACCAATAACCATTGGTTGATATATTGACACATGAAAACAAACATTTGTTTTAGATAGATGACAGAGATTTATTAAGAAATTAGCTCCTGAAATTTTGTAACAGACATTTGAAGATTTGCAGTTAGGTGTAAGTTCTAGTCTGAAAGCCATCAGGTGGGAGATCCCAAATGAGCTGATGTTTCTGTTGGAATCTAAAGGCAGGCGAAGACCAAATAGGGAAATAAAATATGCAAACCATCATCTGAGCCTGCTGGATAATGGCACTGATAGAATATGAAGTGCTGCCACACTTCAGTTTGTAAAAAAACTCTGAAGTGCAGCAAAGCAAAGCTCAATAAAAAGCGGTCTGCCAATACATCTTTCACTGTGCTAACAGATAAAAGCTGCTGCTTCTGGGACAGAGAAGTGCTGTGAACTTAGCATAAGTACATTGTGGGCATAAAAAGCCAGTCAGTACTTTCCCGTCAATGTGTTCTCTTAAACGGGAGTTAGGATTTTAGTCAGGGTATCAGATGCCTAGGTTCTGGTTCCAGCTTAGATTACAAAACCATTAGTGATCTAGAATTAAATTTGTTTCACAAGTCTCAGTTGTTCTCCCCACAAGTCTCAGGTTTTTTTTTTTTTCCCACATAAAATCAAGTATGCAATTTAAAAAATCTGTTTAAGTTGTAACTACTGCATGGCTGCATCCAGTTCCCATGATTCAAATACCATGTATTATTATACATTCTATAAACCACTTATGACACTTATCTCTCCAATGTCTATTTCTCCCTTGAATTCCAGGTTCATATATCCTTTCATGAAGCTATTATCTCCTCTGGATATCCAGTAGGCACCTCAAACATTACATCACTGAAACAAAACCACTGATTTTCTCTTTTCCCCATCACATTTGCTGCTCTCCCACATTTCTCTCCACAAATTCACCACCATCCACAATTCTGTTAAAAACCAGGGCACATGGTTATTTCTCCCTTTACCTCACAGTTTACATCTAATATAACAATTAGTATCTGGAGAGATGCCTCTGGAATATTTTAGAACTTGACCATTTCTCAGTATCTCCACTATTTATCACTAGTGTTTTCCTATGTCTTTCAGCCTGAAACACACAAGCCTTACCTTCAGTCCAGAAATAATTTATAGTGTCTCTGATAACTGACACATATTTATGTTCATTCTGGCACATGTTAACACAGGCCTTTCTTACCCTTGGCATTGATTACACAGCAGCTATAAGTAGCAAGCCACCAAGGAACAGCAAAACTCAACTAAGAGCCTTAACTCAGTTACATTTTTCTAAAAATCAAATAATTATAAATAAAAACAGTAAAATGCATCAATTTTTGAAAAGTTCAATGAATTTTGACAAATGTATACATTCACTCAATGACTGCCACAATCAAAACACACCTTTTCTATCGTGTAAGAAAGTAAAAGCAGTGGAGAGGTATGTAGATATTGAGAACCTCTCTCCAACAGCTTTCTGCTAGAACTACTCAAAGTATCCGTGTGCCTCCCACTGGACAAGTCTTCCCTCAACCTTGATTGAAATTCAGAATCATCCAGGAAACTTGAAAATTCCCAGTGCACAGAAAGCACGCTAGACCAATGAAATCAGAACACACACATATGTATTTTTATTCAAGCACAGGCAATTATAATCTTATGAATGTTGTGTGTATGTGTGTGTGTGTGTGTGTGTGTGTGTGTGTGTGTATGTTTGGCTCTCCTCCATCAAGTTAACTTCTTACTCTTCAATCTCCCCTCAAAGATCATTTTCTCAAGGAACCCTCTTTCTGAACCCCTCTCCTAGAGTGGAATTTATTTCTTGCTCTATTACATCTGCTATGTCTCTAATAATGTCTATGTCTCCTATGAGGTTGTAAACTCCGTAGGATTTAGCACATGCCCGGTATGTAACAACACATACTATAAAGAGCGAATGCACGTATAAATGAATGAGAGTGTAGCATCGCTCAGCACAGGTGAAGGCTGGCGTCGGTACAAGCCCTAGGTCAGCTCCAGGATGCTTTAGGCACCTCGGTGGTCCTTTCAGGAAAAACCTCCGAGACTTCACAGTTCCTCCCTGGCAGTGCCCGCAATACCCAGCCATGGCATCTTCTATCGGCGCGGCCGGCGCTGTGCGGCCTCCAGCCGGCAGGGGGCGCCGTGAAGAGGAAGCAGCTTCCGCCGCACCTTTCCCTTCCTTCTGCCGCCGGCGCCCGGACGTCCTGTTTTCGTTGGCGGCGCTCGGATGGCTCCCACCGCGGGAGCTGCCGCCGCCGCTTAGCGCAGCTTCTCGCCCCCGGGGAGCGGGGCGTAGCGCGGCCTCTCGCTTTGTCCGGTTCTCCCGCGCGGCGTCCGGAGGGCGCCGCTCCCCCGCGCCGGCAGCATGGGCCGGGAGTCACGGTGAGCGGCGCGGCGGGCGGGCGGGCGGCTTCCTCGGAGGGAGAGGCGGGA